GCGAATTGCTTCGTCAAACAGCACATGGCACAGGTCGATGGACATCTTGAAATCGCCAACTGCTTAAGCGCTGGTTTTTTGCATTCATCATTGATTTTGTAATCATTGGTTCTGAATTAATATATAATATTATATAATAATATTATATATTATATAATATGTTAATATATAATATTAATATAATATTAAATTATCAATATTGATCTTCGTTGCTTAATCAATCTGTACATATGTTTTTGTCGCGGATTTATAAATTATATAATAATTCTATTTTACCTATTTTGTTGATACCGTATGTACTCCAATATTCTTACATTCTTTTTGCAGTGCAAAGCATGCAAAAATTTCTCAAATCATTTTTGAACTTTTTAAAAATGAATTAATGAATTTTTTAAAATTCTTACTCCACTAAATTGTTTTGAATTGTCGGTTCATCCAGTTTAAATAATTCGTAGCAAAGACCTAAATCGGTATCATGGCAAGCGCTGGGCGGAATTGATGGCCTTTTTTTATTATTATTTTGAACATTTTGAACTGGCACTAACGTAAAACAATCATCAATCGGATTGTAATTCGCTGCATCGACAGATGATAGAAAAAAAAAGGTGAGAACTACGAATACAACCCGAGCGGTCGACATTTTCACCATAAAATAACACTGATCATTTGCAAAACAACCTTTAATGCCATAGCAGATCAAAAATCGCTAAGTTTATTTGGTAACACAAAGGCAAAAAAAATTTGTGGTTGAAAATAATTCTATGGAATTTTGTTAAATTTATTCATCTGCTTTTTGGTATTTACTCATTTTTCCACAACAAAATATTCCATAATCGTTTTTCTCGATATTAAAAAGTTTTTAAAATAAATAAATAATGCTAAGTAATTCAGAGTTTTCTATTATTCTGCAGTTTTTTTCTTCCGTTAAATATTTTAAAAAATATTAAATTTTTTGAAAAAAATTTAAATTTTCTTAATACATTGTGAATGCAGAATTTTTCTTCTTCTTCTAACAGCTCTCATCATTTCTGGTTAGGCTGGGTCCGCTGGCTACAAAAGTAAGATATCTCCAAGCTGCTCAGTCCGACGCCATTACTAATGAAAATAGAAGCCATTCCTTTTTCAATCGTCTAAGTGCATATATCGCTGGTTCTCCTAAATTCGAGCGGATAAAATATCACATGATTGCAACCACTTTCATTTAAACACCACCTATATTACTAATATTATCAGAGAGCTTCGACTTTGGGTGGTTAGGCCACGTTCTCCGTCGTCCACCATAAGAGTTGTCGCATATTTCATTACTTGCTAAACCATGTGATGGATGGTGTCAAAAGCGAGGTGAGCTAATCAAGACTTGGACTGATACGGTCAGGAAAGATTTTGAATGTATAAGTGAACTAACAATGTGTGGACTTAGACGATGGAAAAAGGAATGACCTCTGTTACTGTCGACAATAGCATCAGACTGCTTTTGGAAGCGTCTTACCTTTATAGCCTTTGGAGCAAGTTTAACCAGTAATGATGAGAGCTATTAGAAGAAGAAGAAGGTCCCCCTATTGCAGCTGTATGGATGCGGAATTTTCTCTTTGTGGTGATTTGGCGACGGTTTCATAAAGGTTTCATCAACAGGAAAAGCATATTTCTAGCGTTAATTTCATTATTCGAGTTACAATTTCATCCTTTGCCTGGCTATTTAAGATTAGAGTGAATCCAAGGTATTTAAAGTCAAACCTTCCTCAAACAGGCAATGAACTGATAAAAATAGGTATTTCATATATATTATATATACATAGGTATTTCAGCATATCATGCGGAATAATAAAGCATTCATTAATAAACATTTCTTCAGCTATTACTAATATCTCTTCTGGAAATAAACATAATTGGTAGAATGCGCACCATTATACCATCAAGATTAATTTTTTACTAAATGTGTATCTAAGTCTTGTGCATTTTTTTCGCTTTGCTGAAGAAAATGTCTGGCAGCAGGTTTCAGACATTGGAGAGATCGGAGACGAGACTAGTCACGTTGAATTCTTCGGTTAACTAATATCCCTATAAGACTGGTTATGTTTTGATTAATTGTCAAAGCAAGATTGCATGAAATTAACGACGCTCAACAGACAGCATCCCCCAGAAGTTTTCTCAATTATCTCGAGTAAAAAATTCAAGGATATTAAGTGTATTTCAAATCGAATTAGAGAAATATCTCAAAGTCAATATGTCAAGGATTCTTTGAAACTGCAGCTAAATACTCGTTCAACTAAATACCTACTACGATCTGTCGCTAGAGAATGCGCTAGTTGGTAGCGAAAGTAACTATCCACCTATCAGAAAAGAATGCCAAAATATGTCAGGAGATCCTGGCTATCAGAATCTTCAAATTGATAAAAAAAAAATAAGCACAACCTGCATCATTCGGTAAAACTGTTTATCCTTCATTCAACACATTTTTTTGTTGTTTATCAATTCATTACAGATGATCAAAGAGTTGATTCAGCTGCATATCGCCAATCCACTATTCCTCTCCTTTTCCAATTCTGGAATAATTAAAAAAAAACAAACCATCGATATTGCCATTAACAATATTATTCAAGTAAAACTTCGACTGTCCATTCTAAAATAACTAAAAATTTTTATTCAGCAGTTTTGTTTTCATTATCAAAATATTGTCTAATTTTTGCATTTCTCTACCCATTTTTTGCAATTTTAAAATATTTCTTAATATTTTCTAGTGTTTTCTCAATAATTTTTTTCACTATACAATAGTAATAATTTTTTTTGAACGAAAGAAATTTTTTTCTCATTGTTTATTTTATAATTTGAATTAATTAATATTTTATTTTTATTATTAATGATTATAAATTATAAGCTGTCGTTATTCATTTTGCAGAAATGTGATATTCGATGGAAAATCAAAAAAAAAGATTCGATCTTAAAAGTTCTTTATGTTTGGCATTGGATTTTTTTGTGATAAACACGCTTGTCGCTTTATCACTTAGCCAGTCTGCCGATATGCAAGCAAAAATGATTTGGTAAACTATGAAAAAAACAGCCGAAAAATATTAATAAAATATTTAGATAAAAAATAATTGAAGAGAGTTTCTCGATTTTTTATTTTTCCAAATGACCAGTCAAGATGAAACTTCTTCATTAGTCACAAATTACAACTGAACTGAAGTTTCAAATTACGGCTCCTTAAATGTTTTACCATTTCTTTGCTAATTATACTATTCACTAATACTGGCCATATGATCTTCACTATTTCTTTAAAACAAAAATGGACACACTGTAGAATTTGCCGGAGATTATCGTAACTCCACATCAATAACTACTGTCATTACAGTAGTTATTTGGCCTAGTTTATAAGATTATTGCTTCTAATAACATCTGGAAGATTGGTTAGAATGTTGCACGGGCTTTCTTATGAGACCAGGCGATCGTTATTCTTCGACCTAATGTACCATTGGGAATGGTTTAAACAAGATCTAAAAGAACAGATTATATTTGCGAGAGAATCTTACCTACTTTTCAGTTGTCAAGTCGCCGTTTGCAATCAAAAAAGATAATTTCCTCGCTAGATTTGGGCACCGACGAATTTTTTGCATGTATTTATTTCGCTATTTAATCTGATTAACTTGAGAACTCATTAGGTTGCTTTGAGTGCATCGTCTACGAAATGAATTTACTAAAATATTTATTGTAGCAAAATATTTCCTCACCATTTTTACTTCAATTCTGTATACTGCAAATCTCTGATAAATTTTTTAATTTGCAGCCTATATTTTATATTTTTCTGCTATATTTATTCGCTCATTTCGCCAGTTGATTTCAAGTAGTAACTTCGACTCTTTTCTCTCAACAAACATGAACTTGTATTAACTTTGGATGCTGTGTGCCTTAATAGGCAAAAGAGCTTCATCGCCGGTGAGAATCGCTGGCTAATTTAGAAATTTTAATAGAGTCAAAAAATTTGGCAAATCTTTTATTCCTTTAGCATCGACAAAAAAGAACGAGAACAAATGTCAAATGAAATACTGTATGGATATTTGATAAAAGATGCCACAAAAACTTTCCGTTATTCCTCAAATTTCAAGCGAACATTGACCCAATTGCTCATTTTCTCATTTCACCTTCTATATGCTTAGTTCTGCTGCATCGGCTACTTCCATTTTTTTTCGTTGGTTTTTCAATCATAACGATTCTTTTTCGAAAAGGCAAATAAATCTTAAAAATATATTATCTTAATGCTGAAAAGGGCTTAAACAGCTTAGAGCACTCGCAAGCAGTTTAACCATTCATGTGCATCGGCGATAAGAGATTTGTATTCATTCGTTTTCATGCTCGCACATTATTCTAGCTGCACTGGCTGTTTATATGGTTTAGGAAGTTTCTTGGAAATTTAACCATAGAATAACCATTACAACCCCTCGTATTTTTTTATCATTAGGATTACTCATGTGTAAAAATTTCGAACCCTTGGTGTGCGAACATATACCAAAAAAATTTCAACTGTTTTTAACTAATATTCATGGCAGATAAGTCCACTTAATTAATTTAAATATAAGATAGACAAGACGGATTAATCGCGCGCATTCCAATTCATCAGGCTAATAAACCATGAATGGTTTGTGGCCGAACAAGTTTTTTTCTAAAAATATAGGAAATCCCTTCCCTAAATTCCACGTTTATTCAAAAACATAAAAACATAAGCGAAGGCTACAGCTTCGATCAAACTCGATTCGATTTTGTTTATTTTCATTCACATCTATAATTCTAATGATGTGAACAATTGTGGTGTATAATTCTTAATAATGTCAAAATCTACAAGTGAAAATCTAATGATTTTTCACTTGTAGATTTGCACTTTATCATGGAAATAAAGAAATTTGCTAAATATATTTAGTAAACCACGAATAAAATGGTTTTCTAACGTTCACATTGAAAAGAAGTACCATAAACAGAAGTATCAACACCATTCCCAACCTATTTTCCCATTTCCCATTTACTTGATGAACTCATAATTGGTTCGATATTTATGAAAATATAGAAATGCCCTGAAGCAATTCAGCTCACTACAGAAAAATCGAATCTTTTAAATAAGATTGTTTGAACCGATTTCCCACCAAAATGCATTGAGAACATTAAATTAAATTTCCTTTTTTGCTTGATTTTTACTGGTTCTTCTTCTTCTAATAGCTCTCACCACTAGTGGTTAGGCTGACTCCCTTGGTTACGAGGTCTCTTCGCCACCTCTGAGGCCATATCCAAACATCGCTGTTCCTCTACACATTGTATGATCTACGTTTATTCCATTGCGATTTTCATAAAAATCGTTATGTCCAATTAATTAATTTCCTTGTTAACCTGCACAGCCAGCTGATTGTTGCGATTTTGTTGGGACAACATTAATTATAATTAATTATTAGAAAATTAATGGAATCTTTATATCAATTTTTTGATTTCTGTATATGCAACCTTAGTAGTACCATTTGCATGAAGCACAGTGTGAAAATATTATCTAAAAAACATTTAACATGTTCCACCACACGTGACAGGGCACTGCTGCTTCAGGGTTGTCGAGAAATTCGCGGAATTACATAAGTGAGCAATTAGTGCGCAGTTCGGTCTGTCGACACATCTTTTCGGCGTTGAACTGGTCGTATTCGCTAAAAATATTGAATATATTATTTCGATTCGTTATTTTGTATAAATTTTTAAGTTATTCATTTAGAGAAGATTCGCAGATAGACTAAAATTAGATAAAAGTAACGAAAATTAACCTCCGGTGATGCAATTTCTCAAATTGCATGTGCCCTGGCAATTTTGCTGCATTAGCGGGTCAGTGCAGTTTTTTATTGTTATTAAAATGTGGCAGATATCGACGAGATCTGGGCACCTTCCCAGGGCACCTGGTCGATCACAAAATCCGCATGTTCTTGGACAACTGCGAAGTGCAATTTCTTGTAAGTTTCCGTTGCACATTGCGTGGTTAAAGTTTTTGCAAGCTGCTGTATTTGCTGTAAACGATCGTTTATTTCATTAATTTTCTTATATTGGTGTCTTTTAACTGTGAAAAAGCTTGACATATTCTATGAAGCATGAAGAAAATTTCCATTAGAAATTAATAGTAAATAAATGGCAGCAAGTTTAATAATTTTTTAAACAAACTGTCGTTGCACGCGAATTGCTTCGTCAAACAGCACATGGCACAGGTCGATGGACATCTTGAAATCGCCAACTGCTTAAGCGCTGGTTTTTTGCATTCATCATTGATTTTGTAATCATTGGTTCTGAATTAATATATAATATTATATAATAATATTATATATTATATAATATGTTAATATATAATATTAATATAATATTAAATTATTAATATTGATCTTCGTTGCTTAATCAATCTGTACATATGTTTTTGTCGCAGATTTATAAATTATATAATAATTCTACTTTATCTGTTTTGTTGATACCATGTATTTCAATATTCTTATATGCTTTTTGCAGTGTAAAGCATGCAAAAAACCCTCATACCATTTTTTCATTCTAAAAATTCCCCAGCAAAAAAATTTTCCGCTACCTAGCTTTGATCAACGCTGTTCAACGAGGTCGATGAAAAAGTGGGTGAGCGATTGGTGGTTAATGGACGAGAGCTTATATTTTATATAAATTTCAAAAAAATAATAACCATAAATAAAATAATAAAATAATCATGGAATTTCTTTAGTTGAACTTTTTGTAACTACATAAAAACATAGTTGCAACGAAAATAAACGATATTAAGAAGTATGCGCCGTCTCAGCATCGACAGATAAAAGAAAAGAAAAGGTGAGAATTACAACCCGAGCGGTCCACATTTTCACCATAAAATAACACTGATCATTTGCAAAACAACCTTTAATGCCATAGCAGATCAAAAATCTCTGAGTTTATTTGGTAACACAAAGGCAAAAAAAATTTGTGGTTGAAAATAAAACTATAGGATTTTATCAAACTATAGAATTTTATCAAATTTATTCATCTGTTTTTTGGTATATACTCATTTTTGCAAAATATTCCACAATCGTTTTTTATGATATTAATTTTAAAACAAATAAATTCTGCAAAACAAATAATTGAGAGTTTTCTGTAATTCTGCAATTTTTTCTTCCGTTATTTTAATAAATATTAAATTTTTTGAAAAAAATTTAAATTTTCTTAATACGTTGTGAATGCAGAATTTTTCTTCTTCTTCTAACAGCTCTCATCATTTCTGGTTAGGCTGGTCCACCTGTATTAATAATATTATCATACAGCGTTCAGTGGTTAGGGCACGTTTGTATTTTAGGAATTTGTATTTCATTATATATACTCACATACTTACCTATATTACACTGTAAAATCTCATAAATCCCATTTTACTTATTCGCTAAATTATATTTCACACAAAACATAATTTTTATATTTTATCGAAATTCCATTCAAACCTCACTGGAAAATAAATATAGAAAAGGCTTTGATTTTCTATATTTTACTAGATTTTCCTCAATTGATACGAAGAAAAACGAAAATATAAACTACTATTTGATCAGTTAAGTTGCAAATTTCCTTCAAATTCCACTTTATTTTAATCTGAATTTCGCCTTTAATTTGCTCGATGCATTTGAATTCGATTCAAATGTTTGGTTTCTATTTTATAAAAATTAAATTAGTGTTGTAATATGTTTTTTACAAATACAGAAAGCATATTTTATATCATTCAAATTTTTCAAAAGTCCCCTTTTGATTGAACAATATTATACGATCAATATTATCAATAACAGTAAAATGATAATGGCGGATTATATTTCTTATTTTTTTTTCATTTCAAATTTTAAATTTTATATTTGCAACCTTTAAAACTATTTGTATTTGCATGAAATTCAATGTGAAAATGTGGAAAAAATATTTAACACGTTCCACCACACGTGACAGGGCACTGCTGCTTCAGGGTTGTCGAGAAGTTCGCGGAATTACATAAATGAGCAATTTGTGCGCAGTTCGGTCTGTCGACACATCTTCTCGGCGTTGAACTGGTCGTATTCGCTAAAAATATTGTATTTAAAATTTTAAGTCATTCATTTAGAGAAGTTTCCAGATAACCTAAAATTAGATAAAAGTAGAGAAAAATATTAAATAACCTCCGGTGATGCAATTTCTCAAATTGCATGTGCCCTGGCAATTTTGTTGCATTTGTGGGTCAGTGCAGTTTTTTATTGTTATTAAAATGTGGCAGATATCGACGAGATCTGGGCACCTTCCCAGGGCACCTGGTCGATCACAAAATCCGCATGTTCTTGGACAACTGCGAAGTGCAATTTCTTGTAAGTTTCCGTTGCACATTGCGTGGTTAAAGTTTCTGCAGGCCGCTTCATTTGCTATAAACGACCGTTAATTTTCTTATTTTAGGTCTTTAACTGTGAAAAAGTTTGACATATTCTATGAAGTATGAAGAAAAATTACATTAATAAAATTGACGTTGATTCAAAGAAATAAATGATAAATAATAATAAATAACAGCAAATTTAATTATTTTTTTAACAAACTGTCGTTGCACGCGAATTGTTTCGTCAAACAGCACATCGCACAGGTCGATGGACATCTTGAAATCGCCAATTGCTTAAGCGCTGGTTTTTTGCATTCATCATTGATTTTGTAATCATTGGCTCTGAATTAATGTATAATATTATATAATAATATTATATATTACATAATATTATATTAATGTATATATGTACATTCATCATTGATTTTGCAATTTTCGTTGCTAAATCAATGGATATATGCCGCGGTTTTATAAATTAGATAATAATTCTGCTTTGCCTATTTTGTTGATACACAAAAAACCCTCATATCATTTTTTCATTTTAAAAATTCCCCAGCAAAAAAATTTTCTGCGATCCTAAACTTAGCTTTTAGCTTTGATCAACGGTCTTCAACGAGGTCGATGGAAAAGAGGATGAGAAATTGGCGATTAATGGGCGAGAGCTTATATTACGTATAAATTTCAAAAAATAATAAAAATCATGGAATTTCTTTAGTTATAACTTTTTTTCACTAAATAAAAACATTTGCAACGAAAATAAACGATATTACGAAGTATGCGCCGTCTGAAATAAGTCGTAAAAAAGGAGAACATGGGATTATTAAAGTTACATCGGCATATTTGAAATAACTCATACATTTTTTATAAATTCATGTGGAATATACAAAAATCTTAGGGTCGGTGAAAAAGTATATCTTTTTTGCAAGTCTTCCATGCTAGATCGAGGACTCTTGGCTTAAACAATCCGACGAATTGTCAACTTATGTTAATTAATTCATCAGTACTTTTTTACTGCTTTGAACTAGATCTTCCAATTTTTAAGACTTTATTGTACTTTACTCTAATAAGCCATTATTAGACTTATTAATTCCAGAAATAAGGCCATAGAAAGTGAAAAAGGAAGGAAAGACTAGGTTGAATTGAATAAAACCATTGTAAATATCCATCTAATATGGAAATAAAATAGTCCGATTGTATCGGAACGCTAATGCTAAGCGTTCTACCACCTGATGGGAACAACTATCTTTTCAAAATACGAGTAATGCTAATGGCTCCTTGTATTTCTGTTGCCATTTGACTCTTTGATAAAATTCGTCTCATCAAACATGGAAACCAGTGGCGGTAATCAGAAATCAGAAAGTTCTTTTGGTTGTGTTGATTGGTGATGAGTTCTTTTAGAAAAAAATGTAATTCAAAAGAAGAGCTGAAATTCATCGAAAAAGTACTTTGTTGCAAATATACTTTATTATTAAGTCTTTTAATGAATTTTTTAAAATTCTTACTCTACTAAATTGTTTTGAATTGTGCCTTGATCCAGTTTGAATAATTCGTAGCAAAGACCTAAATCAGTATCATGGCAAGCGTTGGGCGGAATTGATGGCCTTTTTTTGTTATCATTTCCAACTAACTTAAAGCAATCAACAATCGGATTATAATCCGCTGCATCGACAGATGATAGAAAAAGAAAGGTGAGAACTACAACCCGAGCGGTCGACATTTTCACCATAAAATAACACTGATCATTTGCAAAACAACCTTTAATGCCATAGCGATCAAAAATCGCTGAGTTTATTTGGTAACACAAAGGCAAAAAAAATTTGTGGTTGAAAATAAAACTATAGAATTTTATCAAATTTATTCACCTGTTTTTTGGTATTTACTCATTTTTCCACAACAAAATATTCCATAATCGTTTTTTTACGATATTAAAAAATTTTTAAAACAAATTATGCTAAGTAATTCAGAGTTTTCTGTAATTTTGCAGTTTTTTTCTTCCGTTATTTAAATAAATAATTAATTTTTTGAATAAAAATTTAAATTTTCTTAATACATTGTGAATGCAGAATTCTTCTTCTTCTAACCATTGCTGGTTAGGCTGGGTCCGCTGGCTATAAGGTAAGACGTCTTCTGTTCGGTCCCACGCCATTGTTAGTAAAAATAGAAGCCATTCTTTTTTCCATCGTCTAAGTGCTATATTCTACTATATTCTACTGGTACATATTGTTGGCGTCAAAAGCGAGAAGAATCAATCAGGACCTGGTCTGATACGGTGAGAAAAGATTTTGAACGTATAAGTGGACCAGCAATATGTGGACTTAGACGATGGAAAAAGGAATGGTTTCCATTACGATGATGGCATCAAACCGCGTCGTTTGGAAGCGTCTTACCTTTGTAGCCTTTGGAGCAAGTTTAACCAGTAATGATGAGAGCTATTAGAAGAAGAAGAAGGTCCCCCTATTGCAGCTGCATGGATGCGGATTTTTCTCTTTGTGGTGATTTGGCGACGGTTTCATAAAGGTTTCATCAACAGGACAAGCATATTTCTAGCGTTAACCGTTTCATTATTCGAGTAACGATTTCATCCTTTGCCTGGCTATTTGGGATTAGAGTGGATCCAAGGTATTTAAAATCAAAGTCAAACCTTCCTCAAACCGGCAGTGAACTGATAAAAATAGGTATTTCATCAGCATATCATGCGGAATAATAAAGCATCATTAATAAATATTTCTATAAGATTTGCTGTCTCTAATTGTCTGTTTTTGCCAATGAAATTAAGAAAAAAATACTTTTAAAATTTTAAAATTGGGAGAAAAATTTATTTTTTTTGCCTTTTTTAGTCGTTTCTTCAATTTTTAAATTTCATATATATATATATATATTTCACTAGCTTTAGATTTATTCTTCGTATAATAAAAAAAATTATTAAAAAACTGACAAAACAAAAAAGTATTGGAGTCAAGAATTGTGATTTCTAGAGAAAAATGAGCTTAAGCAATCAGAAATCTAAATTCCTGCTTACATTCGATTCAGAAGAAAGGTCTGCGATATGTGTAATATTTATCAGTTTGTGTGCTCCTGCTTCAAATGAAATATTAGTTCAATGCTTCAGCTATTGCTAATATCTCTTCTGGAAATAAACATAATTGGTAGAATGCGCACCATAATGCCATCAAGATTAATTTTTTACTAAATGTGCATCTTAAAGTATTTTTTTCGCTTTGCTGAAGAAAATGTCTGGCAGCAGGTTTCAGACATTGGAGAGATCGGAGACGAGACTAGTCACGTTGAATTCTTCGGTTAACTAATATCCCTATAAGACTGGTTATGTTTTGATTAATTGTCAAAGGAAGATTGCATGAAATTAACGACGCTCAATGGACAGAATCCTCCGAAATCTTTCTCAATTAGCTCGAGTAAAAAAATTCAAGGATAGTAGGTGCATGCCGCTATGGAATGCGCTAGTTAGTAGCGGAAGCAATAATCCAACTATCAGAAAAGAATGCCGAAATATGTCAGGAGATCCTCGCTATCAGATTCTTCAAATTAAGCATACAAAAAAAGCGAGAAACACTTTTATATTCTCTGGTTCTCAGTTCTGGTAAGGGAATTTTTTTTTATAACAAATGGCGATTTAGCTCGCAAATATGAATTGTTCTTATAGATCTTGTGATCGCCTCATTTTACTAAAAAATCTGCATGTAGGATTTTGAAGCAAAGATCAAAATGCGGTTTTACATGTAACATTAATTGTGCAAACCAGGTCAAGGGACTAAAGTTGCTGGTATCATAACTGAAGTTGCAACATTCTCTAATGTATGAAACTTTAGACTGATCTACTTTTCGTCCACTCTTCACAAGATATATCTCGTGATGAGAAATAAGGAATGAGTGGTATAATAGCGAAGAAATTCTGCTCACAGAATCCTTAAGTCGAATGTGATAACTGTAATTTAGCTACAATTTGTGGCAATCGAGGTTCCATGCTGCTTAATGCATTTGCAAAGATTTCTATTTCCTTTCAACTGAAAATAATTGTACAAAATATTTTTCGGCTAATTTACCAAGTCATTTTTGTTCGCATATCGACAGATTGTTTAAATGCGGTAAACTTACTTACCACAAAACCACAAAAAAATTGAATAAATAACGAAAATAACGAATTTTTGTGATCGAAGCCTTTTTAAAATTTTCGATTAAAAATCGTATTTCTATTTCTAAATAAAGTGAATTACAATCGCCTATAAAGATTTTACGTTCATTAAAATTAAAATTTTATTAAATAATTTGAACCAATTGGAAATTTAAAAAAATAAATTATCAGAAGAAAAATTTGTCAAGTCATATAATTTTTACAAAATTAGCTGAGGAAATTTTTGAGAATCTAAGGGCAAAAGTAGTTACTAAAATTTAGAAAAATGAAAAAAGGCTCGATTGGATTGTTGTTCAGTTGGGAGCGCCGATGCTGAAAAAGAAACTAAAAATTTTGCATTCTTATTATGCAAAACTATAATAAAAGATGAAAACAAGTAAAAACCATATTTAAAACCATAAATCAATTGAGAAATTGCATGAATCTACTTTTTCAATAAAATAATTATTTGTTAACTTATTTTATAAAAATAAGCTTTTATGAAAGATAAGAAAATCTATATTGTCATATGAAAAAAACTAAAATTTTTATATATTTTATAAAAAATTGTGAAAAAAGTTTTATTTTCGAATTTATTTTGTAATGGATATGCAAAGTTTTGTCTGAATATATTATAGATGGTAATGACGGTGGTGTTTGTTCATTTCAGTTATTCTACAAGAGAGGAATAGCAATTTGGCGATATGCAGCTGAATTAATTGATAGTCTCTGTAATGAACTGATGAACAGCAAATAGAATGCCGAGTGGAGGATAAGATCAACAGTTTTGATCGACAGTCAATTTTTGTATGCCGCGCTATTTCTTCTAAGCATTGTTAAAAGGATTAGTTCAGGAGGTGAAATTATTAATGAGTATTTTGCGACGAATCAATTCAATAACAATGATCAAATGCGACGTGTATCTCGAATTGTTTAGGCATGCAGAAATAATCATAACTAAGGTTTCTGTGGTGAAATTTCTGATCATCCGGCTGATGCGTAAATATATTCATGCTAATTTCTTGCCTTTTTTCATCATAATGTCTTTTCAGAGCAATAAATTATAAATTAATTAATGCAAATTGTCGAAAACGGAAGCTATAAGAATGCGTTCTCGTTCTTGTGCATTCTCTTGCTTAATATAACACCTCAAAATAACTGCACGAATGGTGCGTACATTTTTATAAATTATTCGAAATTCCATTAAAAAGTTATCTCGAAATTTATGAGCAATAATGCAATTTCAAATTGTGTTTCAGAGAACGAAGAAAACTAATCTATTCCTCACGTTGCCTCAATTTTGTACAAATGGAAATATTTCTGCAGTAGCATTAGCAAAATGCCATCGAAACTACAGATTATGCAATCAACCTGATGCAGATGGCTGTTGTTCAGATAGCTCTCCGAAGTGTGTCGCATTAGTGGTTTTCTCTGGTTGCAGCGACCCAAATATACAGCGAGATTGCATGAGGACGTGCAACACCTGTTTATGTAAATTTCTATCAAATTTTTTATTGAAATTTTTGATATTTTCATTGAAGCATGATGAATTATGAATTATAAATTTTTTACGCAGAATGTTTACTATTTCCTCGTAGGCTCGAAATTTAGTAGGAGGACGATCTGCATGTTTAGATCGAGCAAATTGTGGGCGATCGTAACTCTCTTGTACTGTGGAACCATTCGCTCCATCAATGAGACAACAGTGTAGAAAAACATGTGTGGCATATGCACATAAAAATTTTGTAAATCTGACCTGATAATATAAGTAGACTTTTATCAAAATAATAAATTGAATTCTTTTATTTTTTTCTGTTTCTTTTTTAAATTTTCCATTCCCTTCTTCCATTTTAATTTCAAAGTTTGAATTTTTCCTGTTCGATTCTTTTTTCGTCTTTTCCTTTCTTTTTTGTCATTATGTTAATAATTCGTCCATTTTTCTATATTTTATATATTTTATATTTATATTTTTTCATATTTATATTTTTTCACATTTTTTTCATATTTTTTCATATTTTTGAAAAAAATTATCATATAAATATTTTGTTAATCTATGCAACAATTCAAAAACATTTATTGGTGGATTTATCAAATTAAATCATTATTAAAATCAAATAGTTGAAAATAATTGAAAAATATTACAATCAATATTAAATTTTATCGATCAAAATTATATTTATATTATATATTATATAAATTTGTATTTTATATTATATTATAAAATTATATTTGATGCCAACAAAATAAAATTTAGGAAAAAATTAAATTAAATTAAAGCACTATAATTCACAAAATTTCCAGTTTAATATTTTATAACAAAGATAATAATAATTAAAGCCATGATTTTTATCACTATTGTAATAATTATTATCATTGAAATTACAATTATTACAATTATCATCATTAGAGGCAGGAGATGAGCTCGTGATAATTGTTTTCACTAAAACAACTTAATTAATCCGGATTTTTATCCTCTTCCATTAAAATATGTAATAGTAATGTGAACGGAACGCTTTTTTTTCGATAATTATGCAACGAAATTCAGATTTTTCAAGAAACGATTATCTTTTAACATAGATTTAGGTTGAATTCGGTTAGGAATACTTCACAATGAAATGAAATAAAACCGTAAAATATGCTGAATAGAAGAATGAAAATGCATGCGATTCATCTTATTGGTCTCATTTTATCCTGGTGATCGTCAATCGATCAAAAATTTATTATGTTTCATTCTAATAAATACTTTTCTATAATATTTCTATTAATTGAAACTCTTAAAGCTGGATTATCACGAGAAAATATAATATCGACCAATCAACCAGGTTATTTCTTTTTTTTAAACGATTTCATTGAATCTAAGCACCGCGCTTTTCCCGATTCCTATTTTTGCAAGCTCACCGATCCCAAATGATTCTCGGTTTCACTTTAGCAGTTATGGTGAGGTTGGCGAAATAGAAGTAGTGCATTTTGTTAGAAAACGAAGGAATTGTGAAATAAAATCAATTTTTTTCTGCATCTTTCTATTTTAATCATGAATATTTTCTAATTATTTTGACTGAATTCATAAAACCACGTTTGGATTGCAAAATTGCAAATTTTTTTATAACTTGCAGTTTTTATATTCCTGGTTAGGCTTGTTGCATTGACTTGCTGGATTACGTAAATTTTATAGGTTGTCAATATCACGTGGATTTTTGAAAGATTTTTTGGCTTACTTTTGCCAAAAGCATAAGTATAAGGAGAGGAGGAGAGAAAGGAGAGACATATGAAAGCAATGGTCCATTCCACTCATAACATTTTTTATAAACTTATCTATAAATTTATAAAAAATTTATTTATATATATTTACATTTTTTAAAATTGGAAATATTTGTGTGCGATTATATTGCTTTAGAATATCAAAAATAAATGGAAAAGAACTTTTAAAAGGATTTTTAAAAAATTGTTTTATTTTCTGATAAGCAATTTTAAATCTTATCGGAGATTTAAGTTACCTAATTTCAGTGTTTCTGATAAGCAATCTAGCGTAATTCACTTTCTTTTTTTAAAAAACAATACTTGATTTTCTTAAAAATGAACCACAATGTGCAAATTATTTGATTATTTATTATTTGCATTTTAGAATTACCTGGTGTTAAAATTCGATTAACCAAATGGGGTGCTGAAGAGGTTAAAAATGTTGGTGTTAAAGTGCTTGGTGAGGAAATCTCTCAATTGAAGGGTTTCCGTTTTTTACACTCATTCGCTGAGCGAGGTTTGCTATTATTTGGTCCATAAATCAATAATACTTGTCCATTATTGTCACCGTAACAGTGCTATTAATTAACATTATCGCTATTTTTAGGAATTGTTGGAAGAGTACTATTATACGATGTAATGGTATTGCATTATTCTCCACCACAATTCGATTCATTAAATTTTTATCCACCTTCTTATGTTATATTGCAACTCGAACGAATGGATATTGCGTTATTTTTCCTTTTTTTTAGAACCTTGGTTATTTAATACTATAGAGATTTTCTCTCAGCACATCTCTGGCTCTTGAACCTTTATTTCACCAAGAAACCTGCTGACAATACCTTGATAATTTTCTGATAACACAATACATTTGGTTCTTTATATCAATATCAATAAATCAAAAAGTATCGTGATTATAGATTAACTGGACGCTTCGTAAGTGATGTTGGGTTAATTACCACTTCTGGTTCGGTTGTTGGAGAAATACGTCAAATGTCGGTAAAATTGACAACAGATTTCAAAGCAGCTCCGGACGGCCTGATGCAAGTCAAGGTTAATGCAGAACATATAGTATTATTCATACAGAAAAACTGAGCATAGCTATACGTTGGTTTCATAACAATAACCATAAAACCATGTATGTGAAAAATATATGTGAAAAAAAAGGCACAATATATGCATAATAAATATGCAAAAAGTGAAAACTATGCAACTAACCTATCATATATATTTAAATGTCAAGTAATGTTGAGCGAATTAGTTTAGTTAGCTTTATTATAAAATAGGGATCCCTGCAGGTGCACGTGGGTGAAAGTCCACAGATATAGGTACACAAGTAATTTATTCTACTGTTGAGAATTTAAAAAATATTAAAATTAAATATTAAATATAATAATATAATATGATATTAAATATAATAATCAGATATGGTAGTATTTTCATTTACAGCAAAGTTATGAAATAATAAAGAATAATAATTAATAAAAATTATTGATAAAGAATTATTAATTATTATTAATATTATTATTAATTATTGATTACAAATAAAGAATAATAATTTTCGCCACATTTTTAAAAAATTTTAAGGTTGTGGAATGTGCGAATAATATTGCATATAGTCATTTTTCAATTAATGTTGATGGACCCCTCAGTGGCCTTATAAGAATGATTGAAGTAAATTTTTGATTTTGATTTTTGATTCCATTTATTCTTTTAAATCTAATTTTAACTTTTATATTCTTTTACATATATTTTATATTTAAATAAGAGGTTGTAGTAAAAAAGCAAAAACCGATAGAATATACGTAACTTAAGAAAATAAAAGAATATAATATAATAAAGAATATAAAATAGAAAATAACAGAACAAATAGTACCATAGTACCATACAAAACGAATCTTTGTGCCGGTAACAATAAGAAATTGTATATAATAATACAAAAATTAAGCAAAATAAGCCTTAAAAATAATAGCTCTAGCGAAGAATTGAAGTGATGGTCGTGCCAATAAGTTTTTTTTTGGCACAGAGGAGATAAAAATAATAAAAAAAATCACTAAGTAATATATGGCGATAATTGATATTTCTGGTGAAACAGTCAGTTCAGTTTAAAACAGACTTTACCATGGTAATATTAGGGCATAAGTCATAATAGATAATATAATTCAATTCAGTAAAGCCTCTTTTTTCTAAAAGTGTTCATGCAGCGAACTGGTTTGCTCTGTTGGTTTATAGGACTCGACTACGATTTTTGAAGAAAAATATATTGAAGAACTTGCTTTAGAGTCCAACTTCGGTGGTCAGTTATAAGAACTATTCTTGAATACACTAGAATTTATTCTGTACCTCTCATTTCGCGGTTAAAATTATGATCTAATGAAGTTTACTGCGGTGGCCGAACGAATAAACCACTGACGCGCATAGTAAAATCTTGCAGGTGAAAATGAGATGTTTGATTCAACTGACCCTAAGCGAATTATGTGAATTTAGTCTAAATTTATTAAGACGCCTATGAGTTTAAGGTAGTTGGAAGTATCTCTATGAGTCAGCTCGGTCGATCTACCATATTTAAATGAGAAACAAACTGTGCTATATTATAGATTATTAAGGCTAAAATTTTCGTCAATTTTATTATTTCAAGATCTCAGTTAATACTTTGAGTTGACCAATCACATTTGGTTAACGCATACACATTGCCATAATGGTGAAAGACCAAAGGATCCATTTATCAACAATAATTGCAAACTGTAGTTCTTGTTGAATTATTCACCTTGAAGAATATTTTAATTCACTGATGTACCACGTGGCAGATAAATTGACAGTGCATATAGTCATATGTGTCGTCATATGTAGTCATATGCATTTGCTGGTGGTCACTTAAAATTTTAACAAATTATTTGCAACATAGAATTTTTAAATAATTGAGAAGAGCCTATTATTTGCGATAGTGTCGGTAGTTTTTAGTTTTTTATGTCGATAGTTTTTTTGCCAAGTACCAGTCTAATCAGCACCCAAATACCAGTTGTGTAGATTAACGAAAAGTTGGGATATGGTCGATTTTTTTGAGTGATAAGAAAATTATACTAAAATTCTGATATGGATTTATTGGCATCAGGAATGCTAAGAATCTTCCAGATAATCGAATATTATTACAATACTATTTGGTGTGTAATTAGAGGAATTTTATCGAATCGAATAGATCCAATACATTCTTTTTTTAACGACAGTTATATAAAATTAAAGTTAAAAATTTCCATATTTTAGGAATAATGCCAAAATTTAAAATATCTTTAAAAAGACTAAATATTGGGGAAAGTTCAGAGAAAAGAGTTGTTTTCATATTGACTTTGACTTTGAATTAAAGGAACGAAAGCATATAATATCAATAGACATATCGACATTATCGATAACATTATGTAAAAGAGGTCGTAAGAAATATTGTCAACTAGGACGATGTAAATAGTTTCTGGTAAATAGTTTCTGGCCATATTCGCAATCATTTTATCAGCAGTAATCTGTAATGATGATCATAATGATAACATCTTTTTTCCTCTTATTCTAACAACTCTCGCCATTACTGGTTAGGCTATCTTCGCTGACTCCAATACAAGGTAAAAACGTCTCCAAGTTGTTCAATATGCTAACAGTAGTGAAGCCACTCCTTTTTCCATCATCTAAGTCCACATATCGCTGGGCTATCTATATGTTTAAAATATGTCTTTTCCGATAGCAAATTCTGACATGAATTTTCTCTCAATTTTAGAAAATAATTTGTAATATATTAATAGTAATATATTAATGAATAGCGATAGAGTTCAATATCTTCAATATCTTCCTAAAATATTTTTTTGCAATATAAAATATAATATAAAATATTCTTTAAAATATTCTTCATTTTTAGAATCGAATTAATCTAATACAATAAATCTAATTATGTTCTAATTTCATTTTATGTGGAAACCGCCAAATTTCTATTTTTTTAAAAAATAGGAGGTCAAATCAAATTCCAGAATTTATTGGTATTTTCCAGATGCATATAAACGATATTATTCGACAAAAGATTCCATTTATTTTCTGTAATGCATTACAGAAAGTAATTGAGGACAATGCACCGCGAATGTTTCAGGCAAAATTTGTTCATTAAAAAACATCTTTTTTTTTCTTCTAGCAATTCGCACCATTGTTGTTTTAGTTTATTCCATTGGTTATAAAGGTGCGACGTTTCCAAGGCTACCGATTCGATACTGAAAACTGGAACCAATCACTTTTTTCACCATTTAAGTCCATGTATCGCTCGAACACCATTGGTTCCAAAAATTTCTGGCCATTTCAGTTTTTAGATTTGAATTGCTCTTTCTCGCTTTTGACATTTTTTATAATTCTTTGACTTGAATATTCATTTCAATCTGCTATTCACATATAAATTTTAAACCACTAAATTATAAAATTTATTTTATTGACATTCCTAATAAATATAAATTTATTAGGAATAAGCTGCAATAGACATTAATAACGATTTTTTCAGCAACTTATTCGAACAGATCTTAGCAATCCATTCAAAACAATAGGCCCTTTAGAAAACCCCGTTGTGGAGAACCTTATTAAACGATTCACTAAAGGCCTTTTTATAGACAACAGAAATATAGCCGATCCAATTGTAACACCGGAATTTTTCGAAACTCAGCAAAGAGGTGATTAATTTTAAAAAACTATTATAATATGAAAATAGAATTCAAAGTAATAACTTTTTACTATCCATAAAAAATATATGATATGATAATGTTTGATAATTATGCAAGTTCTATGTAATGAATGAAAAAATCCATGAAATCGATGGACGAGGATCCAATCCATGATATTCAAACGGAAGGTTGAAGTAACATACTATATTTCATAATTGAAAGGAAATTAATAGCTAAAGCCTGAATTAATAGCTTTGAATGAGAATGAATAGATTCATGGATTCGATTCTTGTTTTTGTTGACCACGAATCGAAATGCGATCTGCACTTGACCCTTCAGCGAAAGGATCTCTCGCCTTAGTTGTCGGCGAAAAATCGGCTATTCGGCGAATTATATTTCGAAATTTCTAAATTACTGAAGTATTTGCGCAAAAATTTATCAATTCGATTTCAGGAGAGATCCGCTATATGGAGAATGATTTTGAAACACCTTTTCATCCAAATCCGATGCGAACCAGCAATGATTCTCATCGAATGCTTTATCTATATGGATCAGAATATTTATTTAATTCACTTTTATACCACGCATATGAGGATGATCGATTAATTGTCGAGGTTTTTCTCTATAAAAATATTTTTGAAAATTTTTTGACATTCCATGAAAATCGAGGTTTTTCTCTATAAAAATATTTTTGAAAATTTTTTGACATTCCATGAAAAAATCGTATATTCGTAACGCATATAAATTAGGTTTTATGTGGAACCAAAGCTAAAAAAACAAGATTTATATGAAAATGAAATGATAAGTTGTGATAAGTTGTGATTTACTATTTGCCGAACTGATCGACTTATAATTCTATGGTGACAGCGAAAAAAGGCTAGAAAACTTCTTTCTTCTTAAAAAAAACCGATACCATTTAGCATAGCCAAGCTTTTCCAGTTTCGAATTTTTTCTGTTTATGGAGCTCTTTGCAAATTAAAAAACGAAACACTTAAATGAATTTGAATTTGTAGTTATTTGAATTTTAAAAAAGCAAATAAAAAAAAAAAACAAACGAAGTACTGTTTCTCAAGTGTTTACCTAAACAAAACCAATACGTTATAAAAAATTCAGTAGAAAATTTAGCAAAAAAAATTATTTAGAATTTGGAAAACTTTGAAAAATCTATTCATTTATTTACTCTTTTAATTTTCTTCACTCATTATTCGATATATATAAAGATTGACGAAAATTTATTGTCGCCACAATATAAGAGTTTGGTTCGAACCACATGCAATGAGGTTCACTCTGACAATGTCTTCAAATCAATGTGCCTCGGCAAATTAATCCCCGAAATCGAAAAAGTTTTTCCGAATTCAACTGCTTCGTTCGTTCTTCTTCCATCTGATTTACCACTTTTTCAACTCACTAATCATATGGGCTCAATCGATCTTAAAAGTTATTTATTCATCAATTTTTTGCCTAAAAATATTTTTATTTTTAATGCGCCAACCATTTCCGATTATATTTGCTCTAATGATTTGTTGGATTAGATAGTTTTCACTTGAGGGACTCACTTGACGATAGAACAACAAATCGACAAATGAGTCGTTAGTATCAACTGGATTTTGGAATGACAAATTTGTTTTTGTCATTTCGAACCAAGAATCGAACTCTAAAAAAAAGATAATTTCAGTTATTGTATTATTATTATACTATCCAAAATTTGCAAAAAAAATTTAAATAATAAATTTGACTAATCATTGAAAAATTCATTGATTATTTGAAATTAGATTGATCAAATTAAATTAATAAATTTAAATTATAAATTAATTGTCGAATTATTTAATTATTTCACCACAAATAATAATATTACAGCACGTTTACTGATGTACGTGAAAGGTGAACTACGTCGACGACAAATTCTTGTTAGCTCTGCTCATCTTCAAGCTGATCTCCGATTCATTATTCAGGATGAGAAATTTGCAGCGATTTTAAAATTGAATAAATTTATAGCCAGGTGATTTCACAGTGAATATTTTCTTCCATCAGTAATCCTTATTAATTTAGTTCAATCTTCTGAATACTGAGATGAAATCTCTTCGTCAAAGATTCTAAATAAGACAGTATAGAAATAAAGAAGTGAAGTATAGAGGTCCCTAGGAAATCATTTCTAATGGTAATGATAAATTTTAATGATAAGTTTTCTTCCATCAAGACGAATAAATCTGTAATATTGCATTGAGTTGGTCATAATCGAAGCAACTTATCGGTCTTCCTAACTTTAATTAATATTAGTTAATATAACAACGTAATTATCAAGGAATTTACAAGGAACTATAACTATTGTTAAATGCGAACAAAATTAAGGAATATTGTGAGGAGTACGTTTTATAAGATATTATCTCAATTTTTTTAGGCTCCATCGTAGCGCTATTGAAGGAGTAAACAGTGATACAATAACGCAACTTACGCCACTCGCTAAAACTTTCATCGGTCCATATCTTGCCAGAGCGCTACGTAAAGGCTTGCCGTTCCCTCTTAAGGTAAAAACTACATAAAATAGAATGATTTCAGCGTGCATACATAGCACCATATTTAAAAAGCAGCATATTTAGGATTCGGTTCGATTTATAAATCCCGTTCTACGAATTCACGATGGTTTTGCTGAATTGGCCACCGATTTTCGTTTGGGGGAAAGAAATTTACGCGAAAAAATTAAAAAAGCTTTCAATGAGAATTTCGAGAAAATTTAAGCGAAAATCGATGATAAAATATAATGTATATTATTAAAATATATAAAACTTTTTTTTATAAAATAAGTATTTAAATTGCGTCTTTAAAAGTTGAAGCTAAAATTCTATAAACAGCACTCGGGAATTTAAATATATGTAAAGCTATTTAACTTTCTTGAATTAATGCCATTAAATTAGTGAATTAGAATTGAAAAAAATATAGGAAAGGGAAGAAATTCTGAGTTTTAGGATGTCAAAAGTTTTGTTTCTCTCTCATCTTCTAGCTGCTGCCACTATTACTGGTTAAGCTGGCTTGGCTGGCCACAAAGATGAGATGTCTCCAAGCTGCTCGGGCCGATAACATCGCTTAGAAAATGAACCTTAGGAAATCGCCCAGGAAAAGGAAATCAAACCTATGCTTTTTACTTTTAGCATGAATAACAAACCATATAGTGTTCAGTGAACTTTTTTTTTAAAAATACTCACTTACTAGTTAGGTCCGCTGGCTTTTCGCACTAGACAAATATACCAGCGAGTTCCTTGCAATAGAAATAGATCTGAGTCATTAGTATGTATGTATAGCTCAGATTTTTTAAGGACTATCCCTGCCGAAACCTCAGCGTTGGGGCTCCAAATTGGGGCAACAACCCATTAAGCCATTCTATTCTCCAAAAAATTTTATTTTATTTTTAAATTTATTTATTTTAATTTCATTCATATTAACTCAGCAAAAACTATTGATTATAAAATATTAATATTAATAATTGACTTATTTTTATTAATTGTTATCAATTATAGTATTATTTATAATAATTGTAAATGACTAGTGAAAATTGTTTGTCGAACATAAATTCAGTTCTTAGCTGAAGCTTCTCGTATTTATTATTATTAAAATACTCTGCTGATACAACTCTCTGATTGTGTAATTATTATGGGTGGCAAAAGCATAATTTGCATTGAATCGGGTGCAAACGATTATTAAAGTCTTATAACCGAACAATTACAAAAAGCCTTCAACGAAAGAGAATTGCTGTGTAATATTTTGAAGAGTATTGCTGTTGTTAAAATTTATTTTCGTCGTGCATTGTTACATATATTCTCTTTAATCTGAATTTTCACTAAAATCAATGTGTTTAAGGCATTTCGCTTTTATTGGTTCATTTGGTGCCTTTTTCGTCAATTTTGTCAATTATAATTATAACTGGAAAATTTAGAGAATTATTTTTATATTTTTTCATTTTCGATTTTAATAGAAAAGAAATATAATTTTATAAATTATTAAAAAAATTATTTTTAATTTTATTATAATTTTAAAAATTATTATTTTCCATAAATTAGCGCGAAAAATTTATTCTAACAAATCGCATAAGTCATTTTTGCTTTCGTCGACTCACTGGTTTTAGAGATGAAAATTTCCAAATCTTCCCTAATGCTTCCGATGCCATACCTGAAAGTAATAAAAGCCACTCCTTATTCTGCAGCACCAACACATCTCCTGAATGTGTCAATCAATGTCCGGATTCGCCTTCTTCATTTTTGAAACTCTCCATCACTGGGCTTAATAAGTAGCGAGGTAATACGCGTAAAGAAGAAAGGCTTTTGGGCTTATGTGACGCTTTCTGGCAATTTGTATTTGACATTTGCTATACTCGAACTATATTCGAAATGAAGAAAAAAATTCTATCTATTCAACTATATAAGAGATCGCTGTTAAATATTCTCACTGGTAATGTTTCGAACCAATATAATTGCATCCAGATGGACGTGAATTTCTTTTTTGCAGCGATTCCAGAGAGAGAGTTTTGCATATCCATATTTCTAAATTTTTTCTAAATTTTATTTTTTGCCAATTCTTTATTCTAATTGCGCTGCAATAATCGTTGTGCGGCTTACTGTTGAAGGCGAAAACGATTAAAAGTTTATGATTTGTGATTACTATGTTCAGACCTGCCTTGAATACTTCTTGTTGTCTATAATCCAATCCACTGCAAAATATTATGGAGGAAAGAATTCCAACGTATATTAGGCCTTATTTCAAAAGGACTATCGTATGCTGAAGCAACCGTCTCAACATCACTGCAGTAACCTTGTCATATTGCTGTATTGATACTTATAAATCTGCAAAGCACTCTATACTCTATATCTGCGTTCCCCATATCAAAAAGGATCTGGTGGTCTTTTCTTTTCCGTTTTTTTCTAAAGGTCACTTTACCTGATCCTGGATCGCATATCCTGAATTTGAACTTTTGTAGATAAACGTTTAGTTACGGCCAATAATTGTCTTGTCTCTTTGGTAATATTCTTCATGTTCATGTTTACTATTGAGATCATTCGATAGTTCTTATTCTTACTCTATATTTGAAAATAAAAATAATCTAAGAAATGTTTGAGGAAGTTTACGCTGATTATTAAGTAGAACCAGAAAAACCAATTAGTTTTATTACTGTTTATTTTGACAGTTGCATGTAATTAGAAGCCTTTTCCTAGGCTGAAAGCAAGTATCGATGGTCTAAGCATCTCAGCAAAGAAGAAGAAATTAGTGGACTGGCTTAGATGTCTTATTGGCCAAATATAGAATAGAGTATGAATGCAATGCGTCTTACAAGGACGTTCCAATTATTCGTTTCATTTCGCCTATAATCACTAAATATTAATTAATCTAGCTGCTTATCTTTTCGCAAGCTTCTAAAAATTCTCAACATTACCGATTAAGCTAGCTCCACTGGCTACAAGGGTAAGACGTCTCAAGCTTCTCAGTCCAACGCCATTGCTAGTAGTAATAGAAGCCATTCCTTTTTCCATCGTCTTAAGTCCACATATTGCTGGTCCATCTATACAGAATCTTTCCTGACCGTGCCAGTCCAGGTTTTGATTAACCCACCTCGTTTTTGACGCCTCCCATCAGAGTTTAGCAAATAAAGAAATATGTCAACTCTTGTGGTAAGCGACGAAGAACCCTAACCGGCTAAGGGATGTTCTATGATGGTACTACTATTAATACAAATGGTATTAAAGTCGATGGATGCGAGATTTTATCAAGTCGGCGGAGGCTAGAAACTGAAGGATTTTGCTTAATTCGTTAAGCTAAGTAAATTCACAAATTTCATTTCAGCGAATTTTTCTTCAACAAGAGATAATTATCACTTTAGCAAATTTTAATCAGTTTCGATATCAAAATGGCTCCTTTATTGACTACTGGTTATATGTCTAGAGCTCAGGCTATGGCGGAAGAAGTAGATCTTGCAACGAAATGGTGGAATGACTATCCTACTTCGTAAGAATTCATTAACTTTCATACCATTTAATATCATTCAATCTACTTTCTTTGATTCATAAATAGTTTACTGATAAAATATAATAATTGGAGGAAATTTCATGAAAATTGAATTTACTAGATTATTTCCATACATTTCATGATTATATTATGCTATACAATATTATATTATATTTATATTTTTATATAAATATAAATATAAATATAAAAACTAAATATAAATATAAATATAAATATACGGCTGTTTTACAGGAAATATATCGAGAGGGCACGACCTACCTCAGCGTACACTTCTTACATTTCAAGCGTTTGGGATAAACCAAAAAGCTTAGCGAGATCTGCTTCTTATACTAATTTAACATATGTCAAGGTTTGGTATTTTTAAAATTTATGCTATAAAATCTAAAATCTTTAAGAAATATAATAATCTAATTGTTTAATGGAAAAAAAAAACAAAGTTTACAAAATTTTTCTACTGGTCAATTTTAGCTTTTTATTTTTTCTTATTATTTCAGGAAGCTGTACACGACTATCCGATTCGTAAATCGCCATCAGTTTCGTCGTTGGCTCCCTCTTTGGCTCTCCCACAGCATTTCAGAGAAGCTGAAAGATTTATCACGACAGCGCCTTTATATAAACCGCATATTTATGATTGGTACAATAACTCATATAGCCGTGCTAGATGGCTTGTAAGCGTTTCATGACGAACATCTCCCTAAATTACGATGATTATTTCATGGTAGATTAATGGTTCAATTGAAATTGAAATTGAAATCGTTTGGTTTCAATCATATTTGAGATATTGGTGGTCCGCTATAGTTAAATTTTGGTTCAAAGAACTCTCCACACCACGAAAATTGTTATTAACCCGCGATTTCCACCTTTATTTTCGATTATCTCTCAGACTAAAGATGCTCTACGAATTAAGCCAAATAATTTTTAATTAACGCCTGGTGCTTCCATGTTCAAGGTTATATCCTTGTTGCGAGATTACAAACTGTTGGTAGGAGGCGTCTCTTGAAATAATGGTCGGATAGTTGGGATGTTTCGCCTAATATGCAGCTTTCCAAATGTCCTACAGCGGGTTTAACCGACTTCTGTGGGGCAAGCCTATGATTACGATCAAATCAGCCGTCCTAGTTGTGCTAGTGATGTTAAACTTATTGAGGATTTTCGATATTTCAGCATAAAATATGCCCAATGTCTCTTACGAAATATTGCGGATCTTGAAATGTTGTATCTTGAAATATCTTAAAAAAAATATAGTATGAATAATTCCGTCTAAATCTTAGCTTCGAGCATACCATAGTCCAACCTTTGGAGTTTGGGCATTGGGCACTGCGACAGTTGTGTCAACCTTTCCAGCGATGATTAGTCAAAATATAATCAATATAGTTTATATGTATAAATATAGTTAATATAGTTTGGTTCGATTTCGATGTCGATTTTCTGGCGAATTCTATGTAATATCTTCTATGGGGCTCAAACTGCTCATATATTTGTTGCATATAGCCTATAGTTTTTGGGATTTTTCGACTATTGAAAATAATAGGAACATTTTTTAACCCGCTTCAATCTCTCGTAATCAAGATTCTGTTTTAGCGGTTGATTCCTATTCGTATATGAATACAATATAGGAACACATACACTGATGACCGACATCTCACAGAATCACATTTAAAGTTGGTATATTCTATCCGGCCATAACCTAGAATTCTACACGATTAGAATTAACCGATCAGCTTCACGAATGGCTTCATTTTTCTTAAGCTCATCGTTATGATAGAGTCTGTCGAGAGATCAATGCATTGTTCAATCGTTTTATGACGAAACCATCAAATATGGTACATTGGTTTCTCGAGTGATTATGAAATATGGTGAATGGTGAATGTAATGCAATCATTAACCTTTTTTCAAAGCGAACACCTTGTGTATGTATATAAATGTAATGATCCATAGGAGTCTTTTTGTTAAGATAATCAACTGCTAAAATTTCAGGATACACACGCAGCCATTTCAAAGCCACTGCGTCGTACTTTTGAGCCTTTGCAATATAGCAGCCATGTACCATATTACACTTTTCAAACTAAGCGAATATTTTTTGACCAGGTTTAACGTCGTTGCTACTTTTTTCAAGTAAATGAACTGTGTAATGTTAGAAAAATTGAACTTTGTGATTCAATAATGGCCAATATTTCGAAGAAAAACTGGGATAAGAATAGCAATAGAAGTAGATCGGTAAGAAAGAAAAAGTTAAAAATAGCACAAAGCCAAAAAAAAGAAAAATTCATGAAATAGTGATTGCTTTAAAATAACTAATAAATTCTTGTGATTCTATTTCTCTCTCCCACTTATTTGCGATTTATAAGGGGTTTTTCAAATTACGAAGTGGTTCCCTCCTCTTCGTAGCAAAAGAACGAGAAGATCTTCAATATCGATCATTTTAGGCTAAACAAAAATTATCTTCATATATTGAAGGCTCAAGACGATATCTTGATAAATATGTGTCAGCTCGATTGAAAGCTGACGATTTTGCGCAGCAATACGCTTATACGGCATACGAATGGCGATATCCACAGGTATCATCATCTATTATTTTAGTTTTTTCTCATTCCCTGTAAAAGGATTCATAGAACCAGGTACAAGTTCCACATCGGCGAATTTGCCCATCTTCCTATAGTTCCAGCTCTTCACTTCGATTATGGGTAATGTAGAATAGACCTAAATGATTAGTTTTATATTATATTGTACTACTTTATTACTGGCATATTTCTTGATATGTTTTCAAAATTTCTCTTTTCCTTATATTCCCTAAAAAATCTCATCAAATCCAACTGGTTTCACACCAGCTGCTCGGCTTAAGTACCAGTTTTTTACCTGTTTTTACAAGGATGAAATTTACAAATTATTAAGCCTATTTGATATTTTAGGATCATTCGTTTAATCGGCATTTCATGTATGGTGAACGTGTTACAATTCCACATGCACCTCGTAATCCTCATTCGTATTACGATTCGCAAGCACTTCGTAAATTATATATAACTACTGGCCGTTTTCGCTTCGCTTAAAAATTTTAGTGATTATGATAGTGATAATGATATTTGCAGTATATTTATAATATTTATCAAAATCGAATGTTTTTTTGGGTTTAATTAATTACAAAAAAACAATAAATGATGAAAAATCATTAATAAAAAACAAAAATAAAGCAGAATATTTTTATTTGTTTTAAAATATAGCAATTATTCATATTAACAAAGCAATTTCCAAATTTTTTTTCTTTGCCACATTTTGCAAAAAATTTTTAGGCTGATAGCCATATTTCATTATAATGATTTGACGAATGATATTCAATAAATATTTTTCACTCAATTTAATAAATATTTTTCACTCAATTTAAAACTTCAAATTTTAAAGTTTTTCAAGAGATTTCAACGCCCAACAATTCGTTAAATAATAGAATCGCTAGAATTTGATAAAGTTGGTGATAATTTTGATAATTTTAACCGATCCTTTAATTATTTAACTTATTCAATTACTAAAGCTAATTATGCAAATTTTATTGCTTATTTTATTGTTTAAGCAAATTCCATTATTTATTATTTGAAATGGCTCAATTTTGAAAAATCAAATCGATTCAAATTTAAATTTCGCAAATTCAATTTTGCAATTTAGCTGAATTGTTTTAAAAGAAATTTTAAAAAAATTTAAAAGAAAATTTTGCTTTGAAAATGCGACGGTTTTCTTAAAATTGAAACATTTTAATTGTTTGTATGAAAAAATAATAGAAATGTTATTAAAAACAAAACTGGATTCGCTGGATTTGTTGTCGAATAATCCAATAGATTTTCGCTGTTATTTTCGAAAAATATTGAGCGTAAATTTGGCACAAATGAATCTTCCATAACAAAAAAAACACCTATAATCGGCAAAAATTTGAAATTTTTAAGGCCCTAAAGGAGGCTTCTAACGACTAAAAGCAGGGTTTTACAAAGTCAATTGTTGCACAAATTGCCTATTGGAATCGAATTATTCTTTTTTTTTTAAGATAAATTCTTGATTATTTTCATGGTATCGAATATTATTAGATTCATCACAAGTGATAAGTAAATAAAATGTGGAGGAAACTTTAGATAACCACACTGAACCAGTTGTGAAGCAACTAAATATGAAGAAAGCTATTTTATTAAAATATTTGTTTTCTCGAGAATATAAATTGAGGAGGAAAATAATTATTGCCAAAAACGAAGAAAATAATCAAATGGCGGTTGATTAGATTATCATTATCATTATGGCTGGATGCTTAGCAGAAGGTTGTTATCAAAAAATTAAATAATACTGGGAAGTGATAAGTGATGCGCTTATAATTCCATCTATGAATGATTTTCTGGCAAAATTATCTCAATAAGCAGCGAAATAAGCCCTTTTTCTAAATGCACTCACCATTTCTAGCCAGGATTTCCCGGCTGATATATTAAATTTTGCTAAGGAGCTGCTTGGCATTAGAAGCATGGCTGATCATCTCGATTTTTTAAGATTGGTTTATTCTAAGCAAAGATATGCTTCGAGATCTCCTCATTGAGCCTACTCAACAAGGTGAATTATATTTTATAAAATATATAATGTGAATTGTATTCGATTTGTTTAATCATATCTTATCATCTTTCACGCGAAAATAATTTCAAACAATTGTTGAGAAGGGCGCAAAATATCATAATAGAGATTACGATGCTTAAATGTAAAACATATACTTCAAAACATTAAGCTCGATTCTTATCACTCATTAAGATTTCTTGTATCATTTATCGATAATTGCGATACACCTGTGGAATGTTTGAATAGAAGGCGGGAAATCTTGAAGTGTAGACTATAGAATATGAGGTGTGTGGTAGTTGAGGGTGTGGCTGTGCCTGCAGCTATAGCTTCGTTATTTTCTGATCCTACGAAACGACCTTTCTCATATACACAGCCGTTGCCTTCACCAGTCGATGATCATCAATCTCATAACAAAAGCCACTTAGTTGTTCCCAGTGTTTTGCCATCTCTTCCACTGCAATCATCGAAAACGATGCCGTTCAATAATATTCAATACAATTCACCTATGCCAATTTATTCCAGGTTATTTATTATTTTTTAGAGGTTATTAATCATTAATTCAATACTTATTATTTAGTTTCACTTGTAAAATTAGCGAAAATAATTATTCAAATTGAGAAATTCATTATTAGGGAAGCAGCAGAAGAACAATATAAACAACAAATTGGAACTGGGCCTGCGATTCCACTTAGCGCACCTGATAAGCATTTTGATCCTGAAAAATCCGAAACGCTTAAGGCTATTCACCAAGGTGAAGATAATACCTTTGGCGAGCATTTTTTTGAAAAAATTGCTGCTGCTGAGGCACCGCACGTTCCCGTCACCAATGTTAGATTTTAATTTTTCTTTTGTAAAATTCTTTTGTATTTCAAATTATTCTCCATTCAAAAAATATCGAAAATTAATCATATTCAAATTATCAGCGATTAGATTGATTTATTATTTATAAAAATTTTTTTCAACCTATAATGATTTTTGGCGTTCAACGCCTACGTTTCGAAGATAAAAATGCCATCGTAGATGAATGAATGGTTCTATCATTCATTACTTTATTTACCTCTATGGTATTAGCAAAATTGCAAATAAAATTGTCTAAGTGATAATGGAAAAATGGTTACCATTCCAGTTCATCAACTTTTTAGACATGATAAGGACTATCAATTGAATTTAACAGCTATCAAATTGTTGATAATCCATAGGCATACAAATTATATATGCTTTAAAAAAAGATAACGAATTTGATGAAATAATGAAAATCGTTATGCTTAGGAACCATCGTGGACGCTTGATGCGAAACGTCGATCAGAACGAGCACGTTCGGTGACACCAAACGCAACGTTTACGTCTCCAACATCGATGTACCACGGTCCGAGTTATACAACTTTGCAAAGAGTAAAAACTAGAACGCATGATTCGGGGTATGATTAATATTCATCCAATATGTCGAATAATTAGTAATTAATTTATATATTCTTTAATTAAATCATTTTGGATTATAGATAGAACTGAGAAAAGAAATTCTAAATTCTCTGGCAAAAATATTAATTCCTAAAATATTAAAATATCGAGAAAATTTTTGCAAATCTAGAAAACTCAAATAAATATTTGGATGGATGAATATATTTCACATATTCCGCACCTATTCGAAATGGCCCTAATAATTATAAAGAAGAGGTAACAAAGAACCGAATGGTTACATTGTAGATTGGTAGTTTTTATAAGAGGTTTCCTGTAGTGTTTTAAATCTTGAACCAAAAAAAAGAATTATAACTAACACTTGAAATTTCCTTGATTAGAAAATCAAAATAAATGGCAAGAGGCTTAAAATATTGAACCATATAGCCATTAAAATACGTTTTTACATAATTCCGATGCTTTACATAATTTTTCGATCTATCAGGAAAGAAATGGCACCAAAACGAGGATATGAATTCGGTGGTCTTGATTTTGTTGATAAATCGAGAATACCTCGGGATAGTTCATATTATTATGAACCGCCTCATACTATAAAACATGAAGAAAAAAGATTAAATAGAGGGTACGAGATGGGAGGAACAGATTTTACAAGAAGCGGAATGGTTGCACCTTATGGACCATACCATGGTCATGGACCCGAACGACCAAAGCTTCATTCAAAATATGTTGATACGCCATTAAAGCAGAACGAATTGAATATCGAAACTGCGCCAAACGTAGAAAAGGTTTCACCAGATATATTAGTTGGTGATACTTTGTCTAATCAACATATTTCAAAAAATGAGCACAGTAGAGAAATGGATACTTTTGGAACATATTTTGGTCCAACGCCAGGTTTTAAAAGAGATCATCGCACTGTGGAAAGAAACATAGAACCACCGCATCCACCTGTTTTCAGTCTTTCCGCAAAGAAGCATACTAATGGTCAGTATGGGAGTATTGATCGTCAAAGACATCGCTATGACCATTTTTCACGTAAAGAAACCACAACTGCACCGTCAAACTTTTTTGAACACACATCACAAACATATGCAAGGAAACCACGATCGCATAGCGAAGCACCACTCGATAGGTACGAATGGAACGAAGCCAATAATAAAGAGGTTACCATTGAGACTCTCTTGAACGATAAAGCTTTAATTGCAAGAAAACGTGAATATACTCCAGACTGGCAGAGTCGTTCTCTAGAAAAACAAAATCGGTGGAAGGAACGTTCTGATCCTCGGCTTTTCCGACCCCAGGTCCACATTTTTGTTTCTTATGGGAATTCTATTCAAAAAAACAAATGAAAAAAACCTTTAAACGATTTTTTTTGCCATTGCAAATTCGTTCCCTAAAATTCATTCACTTTTAAAATAATCATGAAAAAATTAATGGAAAAAAGAGAAAAAAATGAAAAATGAAAAATTTTTAAGATTTTTTTTTTCATCATGTAAATTTCTTTTTTTTAGGAATTTTTTCACCATTTCTGGTTAAATTCGCTGATTTTTATTAGAGAAGATAAATTTTGCTAGGCGGTTATTTCACGATTCGGATTTTTGAAGTTTTCCCTCTGAAGGAATGAAATCCTAGCAAATCCAAAATAGGTGTACACTGAGACAGTTTTTCAATTAAGACAACTGGAAATAGTGACAAGAACATAGAAATTCTTTTTTTTTTCTGCTTTGAATAAGTACAATACAGATGTATGCAAATGAACCAACTTGGTCAGAAACTGTAAGGCAAAGACGTGATGCTTGGGAATCCAAAGCCAGAATCACAGATGAACGCGTACAATTGCCTCCTTCTTATAAGGTAATTATAAGTTTATTGTTGTTATTATTGGTTATTAGCTGAATTCTCATTCTGGCTTAGCTTAAGGCCAAATATCGTGGACCCTATTCAGCCCCTATTCATTGATGGAAATAACTAAAGACGCATAAAGCTCTATCTTCAAGTGAGTTGAAAGGTTCTCAGCTCTATAGTCAATATAGTTAGCTAAACGGTGATTAACAATAGAGAAAGAAAAATTATAAGAAAACTTAATTTATTAGAAAATTTTTTTCAGTAGACATTTAACATAGTTAACATTTTTCATTTATCACTTAAGACTTAATGAATGATAAGATTTGACGTAAAATTCCTTTTTTTTTATTTTTTAACTGCTCCGAATATTATCAAATGTTCTATTTTAGGTGCCGCCACAGCAACCACCTTACTGGTACAATAAAGCAAGTAAGACACACAATATTTGGCAACAAGAAGCCGATAGACAAATTTATGCTGAAGATGGGCAAACTACAGGAAATTATGGAAAGGATATGATAAGCAATAGTCATCAAGACTACAATAGTTTTACTTCGCGTACACAATACGTTCATCGCGAAAAACAGGACGGACCGCATTATAATCAATTTTCAGAACATGAAGTACCAATCACTCAAACCACTCATAGAACTTATTCTGCAATACCCGTTTCTATACAACAACAAACTGGAACAACTAAATCTTCTTCTCAAAATTATTCAACTTGGAAATCGAATGAGTAGCCTTATCTTTCTCCTTTGTTTTCCTATAACATTCCTAATATTTTTAATTTGGCTGGCTCCACTGTCCATTAGAATAAGATCTTTCAGCCTTAATGACTGATCAGTCAGTAGTCACATGTCACATGCAAAAATCAGGAATTGAATCCATGTTTCACACTCGTGCCGAACCAAAATTATATTAATAAAAATACCACTTATACAAAATTAGTTAATTTATTCTTTGTTGAATTCATATTAACACTTTCACTTAATATATCACTTAATTTTTTTTTTTATCACTTCTAATTAAGATCACTGACTTGTCATAGCAAAAAGAATTTTGCCAAAAAATTACTTGATGACAAAAATGGATCATCAGACCATTCGTTTCTTTAAAGGCATTACTCTTAGCAAATGTATAACTGCACCATCGGTGCTCGAAAATGACACTAATAGCCCACTGAACCATTCCATCCTTAGCCACTTAAAGTACGTTTCTTAACAGATCACAAACGATTACGAAAGATAGGCAGTACCAGAGGAATTCATATGAAACCTCATCGCAACGTGATTTAAATCAGCAACCAGCCGCATCACATTCGTATGATATTCAAAGAACAAGCAATTATTACCGTCAAAATCAACAAGCATTTCCAACAAAATCGACAAGTGCTACGGTAATCAGCCAAGGAGCGGGAACGCACATTGATAGGCGTGCTGAAATGGCAGAGGTGAATGATAGAGAAGACTTATTTAGCCTTTTAACTCCTTGTTTGATATGCGAAAAAATAAGAAATGCGCGATTTTCGTATCCTTTGAATTCGGAAGTATAACCCAAACATTGGATAAAGAAATGATTTAAGGCACTTCCTCGAGGTACAATAGCGAATACTGAGGCAACAGCCGAAGGCAATTATTTAGACGCGGATGGCAAACATGTGAATTATAAACGCGAACTGACGACAAGTGTCGATCCTCATATTGAACGAACGCTACTAAAAGAAGAAGAAAGTCGAATAATTGAGACTCCTCTTGAGCCGGGAATTATTTCAAGGTGAATTAACGTGCATTTAGTCTTTTTGGCTTATTAATAAGCCAAAAGGAACATTTGTGATTATACGATTCGAAGTTTACTTATTTCTTTAATTCTTACTTAGTTCTATAAAATTCTTAGAAAAAAAAAAAAAAAACTTTTAGAAATTTAATACTCAGCGAGAAGCGAACAATGATTACGTGATTCGCTTATTACATGGTAGCACAATAAGGGAAGAAGAACGATTCTCATAGGGATAGAATAGGGATAGTCTATAAATTCGATGCTTTAGCTCGAACTATTCGCCGTGAATCGAACCTAAAATTTATATGAACTCAAATGAAATCTATGCTTATCCACTTAGATAAATAATTAATAAATTAAGCGAATTAATAAATAATAAACAATTTGATAATTCGACTTAAAACAACTGATAAGATTCGATTAATTCGCTTAATAGTGATATGATAACGATATTTATTATTTATTATTTTATTTTTATTTTTTCAGACATATAACAACAAAATACTATAAAAAGAAAACGGTGACGGACACAACAACAACAACAACGAATGTGCAATAAAAAATCTCAGTTCCAAATTTAGAATTTTGAAAATTTTTTATTTTTAATTTTAGTTTTACAATTTTAATTTTATTCATTCATCTATTGCAAATTTTTCCCATAAAAAATTTTGGGAAAGAAACTGCCCTTCATTTTAAAGTAAATCATTTGTTCACTAACTATATATACAATTTAGCAATTTCTATATCCATAATAGCTTCGATATCTTCGATAATTTCATAGAAAAAAAAAATGAAAATTATTATTAATTATAATAATTACTATTATAAGTGATCATTATTATAAATACCTATTAGAAAAAAAAAATGAAAATTATTATTAATTATAATAATTACTATTATACTATTATAAGTGATCATTATTATAAATACCTATTCAAATAAATATTATTTATATATATGAAAATGAAATCATTAATCGAAGAGGATAAAAATTTTTCTTATCACCAATCGTGTTTATCACTTTCATTGCTAATAGATTTACTCTTATTAATCAATTTGTTTATCATTTTTTATTTTTATACATTGAAAAACAAAAAAATCTTTTTAACGCCTACGCTAACCAATTGAAAACAACTGATGTGCAAATGCAATACATCTTTTTTCTATTTAATGAGAAGAATTTTGTATTTCAATTTATTTTAATTAGATTTAATAGAGCTAAACGATGAATTTTATTATTGAATACTCATTGCCTTACTCATTTAGCTGCTATTTGGAAACATAAAGCCATGCGAATAGATTTAAACAAAAAGTGAGCAGCTAAACATCTGCCGATCACATTTTCACATCGATACCAAGTGACAGCTGATTAATTTAATGGCTGTTATTTCCATTGTTATTCAAGTTCAACAATTAAAACTTTATACTAACAATGAAACTTTTAATATTATTTGAATGTTGAAGAATACATCCAAGAGAACAATTGTCAGATATCAGATGAAAAATTTATCGACGCCAATCCAATCATGAACTATATTACCAATGTAAATCGATAGCGAAATGATATCCACAGTAAATAATTAGAAAAGTAAATGATAAAGACTTAAAAAAGTAAATAAATAACAAATAAAACTAATAATTATGGTAATAATAATAATAAGATTCAATAAGATTCAATAATAATAATTATAGTAATAATAATAATAAGATTCAACAACAAAGTTATAAAAGTTAAAAAAATTATAGAAATAGATTCGAACAATCTAAAAATAACAAAGGAAAATATCTAGATAAAAGCATCCTTAGAAGGCATAAAAAAATTTTAGTTTGCAAATTTAAAAAATTCAAATTAATTTCAAAAATTCAATAAATTTTTGTGACTAATGAAAAGTGAATTTTCGTTTAAAAAAATGGAAAAGCAAAAGATTACAAAGTGTTTAAGCAATGACGTACAAAATTTTATTGTTAAGCGATTCTATATCAATGCCAGATGGGACCAAAGAAATAGTAGGTGGTGGATTAAATGATAAAGAAATTCCTGATTTGGACCAAAGCGAAAACACAGCACGTAGTTCATAGAGAAGCCTCGAATAAGTAATTGTTCCTGAAGGCAATTTCAACCCAATACGGCGAGTTTCGTTTGAATAATGGAAGATAGCAGATAACACATGCGTATTGACAGATAAACATAACTATAATTGGCCAAACAGTTTATAAATAATACAAATAATACAAAAATAATATAATACAAAAACTTTTAACCAATTAAAAAAATTCAAAAAAAAATCGAAAAAAATTGATACTTCAAGTTGAGCGCCTTTAATGGAACTCGAAGAATTAAATTCGCATTTATGTTCAGGAGCACCAATCTTCAAATCGGTTCCAGTTGCATTAGAAATATAAGCACAATATGATTCCAAAACTGTATTAAGACGATGTTCTGGTGGAGTTATTAAACAATAAGCCGTAGCAGAGTCACTTGAAACAAGTTTTGCCTATAAAAGTAAAATTTCAGATAATCTGTAAAAAAAATAAAATATATAATTTTTGCATATAAAAAAATATCAATCAGAAATCAAATCAGAAAATTAAAAAGAATAATGAAGAAAATATTCTAAAAAAATAATGCGTAACTGTCTTTCGCAATTTCTGAATTCTACTGATAATTTCACGTGCTAAACCATCATCTCTCAACGAATCATCTTCTGACATATCCAGCATAACAATTGTCTAAAAATTTCAATCCATAGAAAAAGTCGTCGAGACCATCTCTTTGAAAGTCTAATAAAGTCCCAGTCTAAAATGTCCCTTCCCTAATAATTTTAAATGATAAAACACACGAAGGCAAAGAAAAATAATCAAAATAAATAAAATACAATAAGAAAAATAATCTTTTTAATTTAATTGTTTTAGATTCATACATGAATGAAATGCTAAATTCTACACGAAGCCAAAGTTAAGAAGTATGTTAAAATCTTTTATCCACTAAAAAACTAAATATAAAACTAAACTAAATATACTAAAGTAAAAATTCTTGAAAATCTTACTTGACCATCGGAATTTGTTTCAAAATATTCTCCTGCAGAAGATGACAGTGAACATGCGAAAGAGACGGAAAGATCATCTGAACCCAATTCGTGGCCCAAAACATTCATGGAACCATTTTCGAGAAAATGGGTTAATTCCTCATCAGTGACATCATTCTAAAAACAAAAAACTTGTGCGAAAATGATGAAATAAAGTTTTTGCTGAAATGAAAATAAATAAATAGCATATATAAGTGTGCCAATGTAAAATTTCCTTTTAATTAAAAGAATTATTTCTAATCATAGAATTTCCTAAAAGGAATTCTTTATTTAAAAAAAATAAATTTGGGCACAGTCACAGTTATTTCGTCATCAGTCGCTAACTGCGTTTTTCTTCCATAAGTTGTCTTGATTCTGAATCCTTTATATCAAGTATATATAAATAAGCATTCAAGTATACTTCACTCAAATATTTTAAAATGATAAAATATACACTCTCTATTTTAAAACCTCCAAATATTAAAATTTTGGATTAAATCTGAACGAGAATGAATTAAAATCTATTGATAACTTTTCAGAAATTAACAACCTTTTTCATCTGTGCTACACTATTAACTGCTGGAATAATTGTGCAAAGATATATATATATATATATATATGTGTTTAATTAGTTTTAAAAGAATAAGAATAAAGAATAATATCTGTCCATGATATCACTTAAATGTTTCAATTTATGGAGTAATTTCGAAATTATACAATAGTGACAACTTTCCAAAGTCCTTGTTATTCTGTCATATTAACTTTAAGCATCTTTTTGAGCCTTTGGTAAAATTTCTTTTTATTTTATATCAGTATTTAGTTTTAAATGGCACTTTATTTATTTATTTATTAATCGCTATTAAGTCGCAAACACATTGTGCTTGCCAGTGCTTGTCGTGTTGCTTGGTTATATTCAAATAAATAACCTTAAGATATTCAACTACTTTCTTTTGTTTACTTTTCAAACGCGCACCAAGTTGCTTGAAATTTGGTTCTGCTTTTAAATGCACACCATATTTAGATTTGTCTTGAGATATCGTTAACTTCCGGATATTAACCTCAGATAAAATATATTCTTCTAATGACTCGACATCTTCCAGAAATTGATTTTTTCTATTAATCACGATCATTTCCTTGAGGGGATACTGAAAAACACAGAAATATATAAAATATATTAAAAAAAAACCAAAGAAAAAATTAATGGTGTAAGAAAAACGACCGAACCTTAACAGGAACAGAATTACGTTCTCGAAGAACACGTACAAGATCAACTACAGAACGCATAGCTGAAACTCTTCGTTCAATTGTTTCATCGATTAGTTCATGCCTTAATATCAGTATATAAAAAAGCAGTAAAAAAATTGTGAGAAAATATAAACCACAAAAAAACATATATATACTTTGAATGAGGGATCATTTCAAAATGAACTGAATCGCTAGGTGAAGAAACGATTTTTCGCAAGTTCTGCCAAAGAAATTCGCAAAAAAATGGTGTGAATGGTGCCATCATTCGTACAGTTATCAGAAGTACACGTCCTAGGGTCGTTAAAGCTTCTGATCGACTGTTTTCATCTCCACTCTAGAAAATTAGTACGGAACATTCAAAAAATCCATCCTTATAGGAAATTTACTTATTGCTTGTAAACAATTAAATAGATTTAAATAAAAAGATGGAAAAAAAACCTTCATTCTTTTTCTATTAAGACGAATATAGCAGTTTGTAAGTGTGTCGAAGAATTTCGTTAAAGGAGAAACAACTGCATAAAGGTGATATTCCTTCATTTCCTTTCTAACAAAGCTAATCAAACTATTGGTAAATGAAATTATCCAGCGATCCATAATATTCGTAGAATCATCATCAGAAAATAAGAAATCAGTTCCGAAATCCTAAAAAAAAGAAATTTTCCCGAATTCTATAGAAAATAGGATGTGATGAAACTATGTTTTAATTAATTAAACTTTGAGAATAATAAAATAATACCTAAATTATGGAGAATAAGATTAAATTTAAAGAAAAATTTGGGGAAAATTTATCATACAACTTACATGTTCGAGAAGCTCGACGTTTTGAATAAAAAACCTATAAGCATTATACCACGGCAAAAGAACATCCTTTAATACATCTCTGACACCTTCTTCTCTGAATCTTAGATTCTCACCACGAACAACAGGAGAATTTATCAGATAGACTCGCAAAGCATCAGCACCATACTTCGAAACAATCTGTTATCCAAATAAAAGAATTATTTTTTAAAATAAGTTGTTATTAAAGCGATAATAAAGCCTTTCTACCTCCATAGGGTCAGGGTAATTCTTCTTCCTTTTAGACATTTTACTTCCGTCAGAAGCAAGAACAAGGCCGTTGCAAACAAGATTTTTAAAAGGTGGTTTATTAAAAAGTGCTGTAGACAGCACTAATAAAGTGTAGAACCAGCCACGCGTTTGATCTATTCCTGAAACCAAGTTTCAGTTAGTCTATAAGTAGAAATATAAATATTTCATAAGAAAGCCGAAAAGAAAAAAAATTTTGCCAGAAACCTTCTGCAATGAAATCGGCCGGGAAATTATCATCAAATTCTTTAAGGTTTTCAAATGGATAGTGCCTTTGAGCATAAGGCATTGAACCTGATTCGAACCAGCAGTCAAAAACTTCTGAAACTCTGCATAGTTCACCACGCCCTGTTTTCGATGGAATTTTTATACCATCAACGCTGGAATAATTCTTTATTTTTAAAAATTAGAAGGCAAAAAAATCAAACAATTGATTAGCAAAAACAGTGAAATGAAAACTGAAAACTGAAATATAAAACTGGTATTTGAAGAAAAATTCAATGTAATTTAATAGAAAAGGAAAAACCTTTCCCGATGTAAATCTGTTATTTTTATTCCACTGAGAGTTTCCAACTCTGCAATAGATTCTGGACAAACGACTTCTTCTAGATCATCACTAACCCACAAATTTATTGGAGTACCCCAAAATCTATTTCTCGATACAGCCCAATCACGTGCATCTTTTAACCAATTTGCGAATCGCTTGTCCTTGACAAATGATGGTACCCTATAAGATTAGAAATGGCTGGCAAATTTTTTAAATATATCTTAATATATCCATTTTGTATTTAATGAAAAAGAGTTGTACTGCTCGAATAATGGAAACGACTAAATAGTTACCAATAAGTTTTTTCATTATTAGCAAGAAGATGAGAAGCAATCGCTTCAACGCGAATGAACCAAGAAGGAACAGCCATGTAGAGTAATGGAGTGTCGGAACGCCAGCAAAATGGATAACTATGCATTACCTCACTATGTTTAATCAAATTTCCATGTTCCTAAATTAAATCACTAAATTAAAAATGGAGTAGAACCAGTAAAAAAAAAACACGTGTAAGAATAGATCGCTGATTTAGAAAAATCAGTTCACAAAACCAAAAAAAAGAAAAAATAACTTTCAGATATTTGCAGATAAGTTTATCAGCATCTTTGACATATATTCCTTTGAAATCAGTTATTTCTTCATTGAAGCGTCCACATTCGTCGACTGGACAAACAGGTTTCATATCTTTGGTGATTATGCCGCTTTCCAAACATGTGTGAAAATCTATCTAAATCGAAAACCACAAATCAAACTAGAGAATATGCAGTGAAAAAAATGAATATTGAAGTAACCAACTTCGCCGAAATAAGGCGCTTGATGAACGACGCCGGTACCCTGATCGACAGTGACAAATGAGGCAGTTAAAATTCTGAATGCTCCTAATTTTTTTTTCAAATGTTGAAAGTAAGGAAAAAGAGGATGATATGTTTTTCCTTCCAACGTTTTTCCTTTAAACCGATCCAAAATTTCATACAAATCGGTATTTTTGAACAATTCAGAAATACGCTGCAAAGAGAAAAAATTATTTTGGTTAAAAAAAGCACAAAAATCTGAAGAAACGGAATAATTTACTAATAAATTACCTGTTTATAATTTAAATATTATATACATATATTATACTATATGAATATATTAAAAAACAAGCAAAGCTGTCTTATACTAGTGGACTTATATATGAAGAACGTCAAAAAAAAAAATGAAAACGAATGAACTCATGAAATCTTAATAATTTTCCCGCATTAAAATTTTTTTTATTGAATTATCATTATGCTCATTTTAGAATTTTTTTTCAGCTTATAAGTCCACTAGTATAAGATAGATATTTTGTAAAACTCGTCATCCTAACATATTAAGCTTGTTGAAATAAGCTTTTAAGCTTTAGTTTTAAATTCTAGTAAATCAGAATATAGGTAAACTCTATAGAAGATAGAAGGTAACTAGAATAACTTGTTTTTTTGTAGTAGTAAGAATTACTTCTTCCATTAAAATATATTTCTTTGAAGAAGATTTATCCAGTACAACAACGTAATTCAATTCAGGATGGACTGCAATACATAAATTGCTCGGAAGAGTCCATGGGGTAGTTGTCCATGCGGCTAACTGTATAGACGGATCCTCATCAAGAAAAAATCCGACGACAACTGAAAGTTATTTCAATAAAAACTTTCTCCACATTTTTTCCACATATCTACGATTCCCATTTAATCACTAAAATGATAAATCTTCTCTTCACATAATTTTTTGGAAATTTTTTGGAACAAATATATATGTAACAATCATCCCTACTGCCTGTTTTTGATACAAGATATGTTGTGCACTCGTATATATTAGGAAAAATCAATTTTTGTTCTAAAAACAAGCTCATATTAACATATTATCTTTTTAAAACCCACTTAACCCATTAAAACCTTCATTTTTTCCTCTCTTTAGAAACATTGAATTCGAATAGAATTATCCACACCCTGACTCACACTATCTTGCCATGACCTATCTTTTTTATATATATATCCTTAACACCTCATCAAATATTATTACATCGCTACTACTCTTTTAAAACTCTCAAATCTATGTATTCGAATCCTTCTCTCTATTCATATTCCACTTAATAAGCCTTCAGGCTGCACCCAAGACCTTGTCATATGTTTGACTATAACATCAAAACTCGTGAAAGACAAATGAAGTTCACCAGAAAACTTTTATAAAGGGACTATAAGGAAAAATGGAAATATTAATGGCGTAAGGGATTTGAAGAGACTGAGATTTAGAGGAGTTTAAAAGAAAACAACTTTTAAGATACCAAGATGTATACCACTGTTTTAGGAATGTACATTTCTAAGTATATAAATATATAGATCCTCTAAATGACATTAAACAATTACCAGCTGGGTCGACCACATCCTTATAGTTTTGTCCAGCTTCAAAATTTGATAAAGGAGTTGAACAAGACGTGGAGAAAGGCATCACCTGCATATAAAATTAATGTTCACCTTCGAAAATAAATTAGCAAAAGGCATCATGTCATGAATATTCTGGATATTTAATGGGCATTTGAAAACCAAAAAGTTTTTTAGAACATACTTTCACACCACGATATACAAGTCCTTTTTTGAACAACTGACTAAATGCCCACCAAACACTTTCCATGAACCAAGGATAAAGTGTTTTATAATCATTTTTGAAATCAATCCAGCGTCCCATTCGTTCCACGGTCTCCTCAAATTATTATAAAATATAATTACCATAAAAATATATATTATTTATATCAAAAAAATATCATACTACAATACAAAAAAAACACACCTCCCATTCAGAAGCGTATCGCATAACAATCTTCCTGCACTCACTATTGTATTTATCAATTCCCATTTCTAATACATCTTGTGGACATTTTATGCCTAATAATTTGTCCACTTCGAATTCCTCAAAAATTTTTTTTCATTTTTATAAAACATAGAATATAAAAAAAATAAATTTCTATATTTGATTGATCAATTGTAATTTAAATAATTATGAATTCTAAAAATATAAGAATAAAATTTACCACAGGAAGCCCATGAGTATCCCAACCGAAACGCCTCTCCACATAATGTCCGTTCTGATAAGCCCATCTTGTTACCACATCTTTAATAGTACCAGCCAATAGATGACCATAATGCGGTAATCCAGTAGCAAATGGCGGTCCATCATAAAATGAATAACATGGACGACCTATGCTAAGCCTCAAAAAAATTGATTATATGACTGAAACCTTGCAAAAAACTAATTAACCATACCTGACTGATTGTTCAAATGTATTCTCATCCTTCCACTTTTTCAGAATTTTCAATTCTTCCGCTGAAAAACTGATCTGCTCTGGAACACTTCCAAACTTTTCCATCGTATCCAAATTCAACAAAAAATCCTAAAAAATTTCGACCATTTCACTGCATGCCATGGTCCAAAACAATTTATCATCGAAGGGACACTAATGGAAGGTTGAACACCAAATTCTACTTTGGTATACTTCGATATACTTAGTATACTTTGCTTTGGCTTAATTATAAATAACCAGATTATAAATAACCAGATTTCAGCCAAACAATGCATTTGCTCTACATGAAAAGTTAATAACGTTCAAAAGTACTTTATTTCGAAGAAGGATACAAGAAAGATAAGATACAACAAAAGATCATCAAAATAAGCTAAAATATTTAAATGAAAATAAAAAAAATATACAGTAGAATGAAACTGAGAAAATTATGACTACATAACACAACAAGAAGAAAACTCCGGGTAGAATTAAAGAAAAGCCCACTATGAAATCAGAAGAACCAAAGAGAACAATAAAAATTGTGAAAAAAATTAAAAACACCATATACACCATAAATTGACACATATTATGCATTACAAAATTTATAATAAACTACAGTCAAAATTAAACAGCAATAAAAAAATTCTACAAAAAAAGCCAAAATTTTTCGAAAATTGCGGATTTCAACACATAACTCACAGCTTATAACAAAATTTTTATTTACTTTGAAGCAAAAATTTCAAAGTGAAATAATTTTTATAATAATTTTTAAATTTTTAAAATTTTTATAAAAAAGTATATATTCATTTTAATTCGTCAATTAGCTATAACCTTACTTACTAGATATAGGATATCAATTCCACAATATTTCTATACATTTGTTTTAATAACACGACGACCACCTCTTTGATTTGGACCAGGGGGTTTTGCAAAAGCCTTTTCCTTAACTTCTACTGGAGGGCGAACATAGTCGAGAAGCGTTTCTAAAGATAGTTTCTCGCGACTATCGATTTCAATCTGCAAAATAAAAATATGAAAGCATAAGATAAAGCTTACGTAAATTCTTATAGTCTAATAAAATACTTTTCTATCAGGCTTTAATTTGATTGCGGAGAAGGCTGATTGGAGGAATGGTTGCTTACAGCTTGAATACAGCATTTTTTCTTTTATAGTACAACCAGATGACGGCATCGAATAAATAAATACTGCAAAATTCAGAAATAATCTTAGGACGAATATATATTTTAACAAACATTTTAATAAAAAATAAAATTATTGCTTTTAAAATATTCGACAGAAAATAAATACATAAATATCCTTGGCAACAATAAAAAATTTGCCAAATATAACTTTTTCAATAACAAACTGTATTCTTAATAGCATCAAAAATAGCATCAAAAACTTACTTAAAAAATCAGCCTCACTACCGCCCAAATTGTGTGAGAAACGATAAAAATGATATCTCGGTTTATCGTAAGGTATTACCTGCAATTCTATTCTTCTGATGAGAAGTTAGAATAATTAATTCTTTAAAAGCTTAGATCTTCCTGGTTGGGCTTATTTTCATTACTAGTAGTAGTCAAATTTTAAAATATTAAAGAAAATCAAAATAAATATTCAAAAAAAATTCTAAACGTTAAAGGAATAAATATTTTCAAAATCCTTTTAATTTAATTTGACTTTTAAAAGGACTAAAATTTAAAAAAAAGTCTATTAATAATTATTATAATTACAAATTTATTATAATTACAAATTATAATTATATATTGTATAAATATATATCTATAATTACAAAAAAATTATAATCAAAATATATAATATAAATACTTAAATAATTAAAATTTTTAATATTTTTAAAATATTAATTCATATAATATTTAACATTTTTTTAGTGGGTTTAAGGAGTTTCTGAAAAATAAAATTTCCTATAATACTAGTACCACAAAAAAAACCAATTCTCTGGATTTTAAAAATTAAACAAATAATGAGGATTTAAAAAAAGAAGTACTTCTCGGAGCATTTCTACAGATTCTATTCGCAAGGCTACTTCCAATTTAATCGCTTCGTTTAGTGTGTCCACTGACATTTGAACGTAATTAATTTTTCGATCATGAAGTTTCTTTAATTCTTCTTCAACATTTTGATCCATGGGAAAAAGAACTCCTAAAACCTAATAAATTTTGAAATACAAAGATATTACTCAGGAAATTAAAAACAATGACCGCTAAGCTAGAATTTCAGGCTTTTCAGTTATTGAAATAAAAAAGATTTTCAGTAAAAATCCATTTCCTTTGAGCGTTTGTGAGGCCACAGCGGAAGGCATTAATGAATTTTGCTCTTTCTGCGCATTATTTAGCTCTATTTCGATTTCAGACATTGGAGCATTCTCACTTTTTCCTTCCAGCCATTTTTCGAAAGCCTCGAGCGACAAATCCTTCTTGTTGGTAACATGATACTCATACCTTTCAAAAAAATCTAAAGTCAAAAAATTCAACAAAATGGTTAAAAAATATGATCAAATTATTGTATCCTATCAACTGAGCACAATAGCTATTCTTCTTCTTCTTCTTCTAACAGCTCTCCCCATTACTGGCTGGGTCTGCTGGTTATAATAGAAAGAGTTTCCAAGCTGCTAAAAAAAACAGATATAGATAATGGCATACTGAGCACCTTATCAAAAATCAGTTCATTTTTAGACTGATTTTTAAAAATGTAGAGTACCACAAAATAAAGATTAAATTTTTAGAAATGTAGAGTACCACAAAATAAAGATTAAAAAAATTGAATAGTTGAATCTTTCAAAAAATTTAACAATATTGTGTTCAATTAAATTAAGGTTGTAACGCACTTAATATTTGACTGCCCAAATTCAGCTTTGAAAGTTGCTGTCGTTGCTGCCAAAACCATTTTCTCCCGAACTGAAGCACGATCATCAGCAAAACTAAAATCGATGCACTTTACCAGAAATTTATAAAAAAAATTCGGCTTAGAAAGGTTTGAAAAGAAAAATACAGAAAATACAAAAAAGAAAAAAATACCTTATAAAGAAAAAGATCATAACAAAGTTGAAAAATACCTTATAAATAACCAGCCTGGCTCATCTATTCGAAATAGAATGAAACAAGGTTCAAAAGAATCGATACATTCTGGAAGCAAAGTGTTGAAATCAGTACGCCAGTTGGATGTGCCTTTCCCTTCGTAATTAATCACTAATTCCTCTTAAAATATAAAACTTTGGTACCATTCAATTATATGAAATTATAAAAAATGTCATATTTGGAATATTACATTTGCTAAAGAAAAATCTGAACTAAAATAATTTTTTATATGATAAAATTTTTAAAAATTTATTTTGTTAATATCATTAAAATTACATTATCATTAAAATATCATTATCATTAAAATTTATTTATTATTCCTTCAAATTTTTTTATTGAAACAGTCCATCATTGTATCATTGTATTCTATACTTCTACATTAAACGAACAAACTCGACGATATTAATCCATTTAATGAAGATGGAAATGATTAAAAAGAAGTAAAAATAATTTGAATAAATAAAAACTTCAGGACTAAAACAGAAATTATCTTATTATATGATAAAAAAAAGGAGTAGAAAATATTTCAAATTACCATTTTTTATGATGATTTTAACAAGGCGATTCTTTCCTGCTTTCAATTCGCTAAAAAGTTTGAGTAATTCATCGTTCGCTATAAATCATTAAAAAAATATCATAAAAAATAAAAATTACAAATTAAAATTTCAAAAAAATTTCAATATACAAGAAAATATTTAAACGATACAAATCGTATCAGTTGAACAAATCTACATCAATCGCCTTTAGTCTCTTCAATTAAAGTTAATCCGATAAAAATCCTGTAATCCTATAAAAAAGTTCTTAAAACACTTAAATCCTAAGATTTCTTCTGGTTACAAATCAAATTAATATAATTCTGATTCGCTAAGGGACAGAAGAGTTACAAGAATATTTAATTATAATTTTATTTACTTAATTCATTTAGCTATATCAAATTAAACTATGCTGAATATGACTTTAACTTGTACTTCAACGCTTTCTTCTGGTAATAAACTATTACCTATTGTTTCGTAAACCTATTTATATGATGAATGTCCTATTCTAAAATTTCTTCATTAAAATTATTGACTAAAGATTACCATGGAATGTCTTATTCCTATTCTCCCAATCTTCGCCAGTTTTAAAAGAAATCTTAATAATAATTTGTAGAATTTCAATTTAAAACCACTGTTGATATTAGCCTCATTCTTCTCGATTTTTTGAAATTACTTTATACTTTCATTTATTTTTATTTGTTCTATTCCTAGTTACTTTGGTGTTCAGATAACTACGTTCACAGAAAAAAAATTGTAGAACTACAAAAGTTGTAGTACCTTCCCTCAAAATCACACTTCTGATTAGGAATCACCATCATCAATTGAATATAAATTTTTTCATTTCATTTACTCTAATGTTCTTCATATAAATCACGAAGTGGTTCTAGTCTTTATTGCTTGAAACAGATATGCAAACCATAAAATAAATCCAATTAGGCCAAATCACACTGAATAGAATATAAAATATTAGAAAAATCTCTTTCTGATCCCTTGTGAGTGCTAAAGATCATTCTCAATCCCGACCAGTAGCCTGGGAGATTGAAGGTTCTGCGTAATCCTACTAGTGGGCTATTCTGGATAGAGATCCCTGCTGTTCCGAGAACCTGAAGTCACTTTTTTGAAATTTAGGGGGCACAGTTACTGGAAGTGCTAGAATTACTTTGGCTTTCACTTTCCATATTTTATTTAGTTCCCGTGAGTGATAAGGATTAGATAAGGATCATACATATACTATATAAAGTGCCCGTGGGCCAAACTTACCAGTAGTACCACAATAATAATAATAATGAAAAAGCAGTATTAACATTCGACAAGTCATTTAAATGGTACAATCATTTTTGATTTCACTCGCTCAACTGATCTGTTGCATCAAACAACACTTTTACAAAAAAATAATTTAGCGTTTAGAAGTGAAGATGAAATGCCAGTATCACCCAGATTTTTTAAAGATAGATTAACTTTGCTGATAATGAAACTCTTAACATTGCCACTTCAAAAATGAGAATAATAAGTCACTCAATCACTCCAAATCCCCCTTCCTCTTATTAAAACCATTAAAATTAAATTTGAAAAAACTGATAAAAGTGATAAACTGACAAAAATTGAGAAATTTAAAAATTTAATACGAAATTGAATACCTCGTATGCCTGTTTGACAAGCCATTTATTCTCGATTATTCGTTGAAAGTATTGTAATACTAAAAAATTATTTAAAAAAGACTCTGCTTGTATTTTTTGAAAACGAACGATAAAATTTTACACTAAAAAATTTTGTTGCCTTCTTATTGTTTCCTTCCTATTATTTTCGATATCATCGTTCGCCTTATAATTTCCCAGCCCCTGCGCCTAAACATCAACCCATCTCATTTCATTTCCCCTGCGGACCCCGCCAAACCCAAATCCCAAATCTTTACAAGTTATCCATCTTCATCTACCATCCATTCCTCTATCCTTCCATACCCTCCGGCGTTCCTTCTCAAGACGGTAAATCTCGGCCACTTTTTTAAAATTCAGCTTAATATAATTCAGATTTTAAAATTTTGGATTTTAAAAAAGTATTCTTAGAAAAAAAAAAAAAAATTCGGTCATCTGAAAAAATTCAATATATTTTTTATTCGCCAGTGAGCACCAAAACATTCCAAGAATTTGGTGAATTAGAGAGGACATCGATGCAAAACTCAGCAATAAATCATTCTAGCGATGTATGATGTGGCATAGTTTTCATGAAAAATGGTGAAATCTTTACCTACACTGTATTTGATGGTGAATTATGCATTTTCCATTGCACCAATTTAGTTACCACTTTAGTAAATCGATCCAGTTGTGGACCACTGTAAACAGTAATACACCAATAACTCAGCCAATCTGTTAAAACATCCATTTTTCTTTTTGTGAATAGGTCATGCTCAGTAACGATATCAGAGAGCTCAGATTTCGGTATAGATTGACGGAATTCACCTCATTCAGCCAATGTGATGGCCTTTCATTGTAGTCGAAGTGAAAATCCGCTCCAAAAAAATGCTCTTGGCGACGAAGAATACGTCTCCAGAATTTTTCTCATCTAAGTCAATCTTTGTCGCCCACCACAGGAGTTAATGCATCTTTCACTGCTTGCTAAACCCTGTGATTGTTAGCGTCAAAAGCGAGAGGACCAATCAAGACTTGGACTAACAGAGTTAGAAAGATTTTATAGGAAGACCAGCGATATATGGACTTAGACGATAGAAAAAGAAATGGCTTCTATTCCTGTCGGCGATGGCATCAGATGGATCGCAGCTTGGAAACGTCTTCTCTTGTAGCCAGCGGAGTCAGCCCAACCAGTAATGGTGAGAGCTGTTAGAAGAAGGAGAATTCAGCCAATCTGTTAAAACACCTATTTCAAGCTTTTTCTTTTTGTGAGTAGGCCATGCTCAACGGCAAGTTCTTCTACATAAATTGTCCTGATTATCCTTCACTTCTAGGGGATCGTCTATAGAACTTTACTACCAACAATTGCATGACGCATCCTTCCGGGTCCGTACGTTCGATTCTTCGCGGTTTATTTAGGCCTCCTTTGCATATTTCGAGTTGTCTCCACCAATGTCGTACTTCCATATCAAATTTCGATAACTAAAACAAACATGCAAAAAAAAAACAAAATATCCTATTTCGTTTAAGGAAAGAGAAACGTGTAGATGAATAAGTGATAAGTGAAACGATTCTGCGCAATAGTAGGGGGGAAAAAATGTGGTACCGGAGTTGGACTCCTTAAAAAACGCGAGCACTTTTCGGTCATCTGTGATTATTTGCTACATGTGAGAGAATGCGCAAATATAAGTGTGCCTGTATGGGTATATATTGGTTGGTTGTATGGTCATATATAAGTGCGTATGAGTGCGTATGAGGTGACTTTGTAGATGTTTGGTATTTATTTTCCCTTAAAATAATCGCCTTGGTGCCGCCTTAACAAAACTTCGAGTGGAAAAGTTATTTCATGTGCAATATTTAAAATACTTTCTGATTCTTGGCATGCATGAAGGTGTGAGATCACCTGTAGGATATAATAAATATTTAAGACTGAATTTAGTCTTAAATGTTCATGGAAGTCAATTTTTACGCCTTGCCTCCCCTCCTCCCCCACCCCTCCCATTTTCTTTCCAGTTCCATCATCCTCCATATTCCTAATAAAGCATGACATTATTATTAGTCGAGTACCAATTTAATAACTAAATTTAGCTATTATAATATGTATTTTATAAACAAAAATAATCAAATTTATTTGTGTCTCATCACGAATGTATGAAATTTTTATTTTTATTATTGTTTATTTATTCTTATTACTATTATTATTACTATTACTATTATTTATTATTATTACTATTATCTTCATTATTTGTTATTGTTTCTGTTGTTCTTATTATCATCATTGATTATTATCTATTATTTTTATTTATTATCATTATCATTATATGTTATCATTATTATTATTTCTATCATTATTATTGTTATTATTATTATTATTATTACTGCATAAAAATCTGCTATCTAATAATATTGGAATTAATAACAAAAAAGAAAGAATTTTATTTCAATAAATTATTCTTTTATTTAAAGGAAAATTAAAAATTTTTTTGAACTTTTTAAATTTTTTTTATTGCATTGTAAATCGCGCTTTTTTTTGCAAATTTCAATAGATTATTACAAAATCGAAAGGTTTTATTGATGAATATTTAATATTTTTGGGCAAATAATTTTCAAGTATTATTTTTTTAATGAATCAAATGGATATTATTTTAGAAAATAATTAATAGAATAAAATATGCGTAATAAAACGGATGAGTCGAAAATTCTCCGCGAGAAAATAACGCTGAAGCAGTGGACGGAAACGATCCGCTTGGCGAGTCCGAAGATACTCTTCGCCTATAAAGAGATTTGCGCCTATTTGGAAGCACTGCCGTTGTGCAAACTGGCTGTATCGTTAGTTATTATTATTCATTTTACTACTGATACATTAAAAATCGCCAAAAATGTTCTTTCAGCAGTGTTAGCCGAAAATTCCGACCTGACGTGCATTCTTCTTCTGCTTCTAACCGCCCCCACCATTAGTTATTAGGTTAGCTCGGCTGGTCAAATGGATATTTTCAAGCTCTTCGACCCGTTTGCGTCCATTAGTGGAAAATATATTGAAAAATGGTTGTGCTGATGATCATTCTAACAGAAAGCACAATTGCTGCTGATTTTGTTTATATTGACGATGAATAAATCTCAAGCTTCCCGTGCCTAGTATGGAAGCACAATGATCAAAGTCGATCATTCATAGATTTTAGCTCATATATTTCCTAAACATGCAAAATCTCTCTCGTTTCGATGCCATGTAGAGTTAGACTGGCGAAATGTTCAATTTCTGGTTTAATTTTAATTTAATTTCCTCTAGTCTGTCTGATTCTTTCATATTTTGTCAATCCTATTCACGCTGGTCTGTCTGATTCTCTCCAGCTTGTCAATCCTTTTTACTCTAATCCGCCTGATTCTCTCGTGGTTTGTCAATCTTATGTACGTGAGCTTGTCTGATTCTCTCAAAGATGTGCGTCATTTGCTGTGATGGCCGACGAAGAACGGTCTAAAAAACGTTCTATGGAAATATGAATGCAGGTGATATTTGAGCGATGATCTATGCGGTGATGTAAATTCTATCTTCTCTTTAACTGTGGTCGTTTAAAATGCGACGTATATTTAAAAGTAAACCTAAAAACCCCCTTCTTTTTTCTTTGTATTACTGGTAGTACCATATACTGCTGGATCGCCTACGCATCCCAGAATCTCTGTTAGACATCTCTATTAGGCAATTATAAGTTTTTTTTTGAAGGAGAGAGTTTCCAATCATTATCCTCTTTCCTATTTGTTTGCTGTTTTTATTTATATTTTATTTACATTTGTATTTAAATTAATGTTCATTTTGGTACGATTTATGTAAGTTAATAATAAATTTTAAATATCAGTAAATAAACAAATGAAAATACATATTAAATTTTAGTTGTTTAATTATTTAGCCTTTCACCTCTTATGTTCAAAATTTTTGTATCATTAGTACTATTTTTTCTAAATTTATTTTTCATATTTTAAATATTGTCTTAAATTCTTAAGACAAGTTTGTTTGTTTAGTTACCGAAGGATTGTTGAAAAGAATTTATATATTAGTTGCTTGAAAATTTCTGAAAAAGAATATTTTAAATATAATAATTTGGTATGAAAAATAAGTTGAAACATTTTTATATTCGATGATTGCATCCCAGAAATTTTATAAATTAATTAATAGAAATAAATGATGACGACCAACTGCATAAAAAAATGTGAGATTTTTTGTCGTTTTATAGTGATGGGTTTTAGGAAGGATGGATTGGTTGCAACAATGAGCTATGATCGAGAATTGGAGATCGCGCAAATCGAAGGTGAGACTTTGGTGACGAGGTCGATTGTGAAAGGTACTGTTATTACAAGAAATTACATAGTTCATTTATCATTCGTAGATTAACTAGTAAAAAGCCCGTCATGCGGATTTCTAACCTTCACTCATCCTTATTTATATCAAAATCCTTTAATTCTATTTTAAATTTTTATATATTATTTTGATACTTGCCAAATGCCTGCTGGATGGTCCCATCACCTTTGCAGTGCGTAATTTTGACGGCACGTTAAGGGAATAAAGTAGGAGTGGGCAGATAGGGTTGAGGAGAGACAAATGAGTACGTTATGGCTTAAAACTAACAGCTGATGGCAAAATAAATATGGCGGAAATTTAAGGGTGTTAGAAGAGGTTTGGGAGAACAAAACTTTAGAGAATATCTTAACGAGTTCGGAAGGTTATAAAGAAGATTTCACTATGTGGGAATACCACAGCGAAGTCTTAATCGCTATGTCACCAACTTGTCGTACTTTTGGAATATTTACGAACATATTATTATGGCGTTTTAGTAATATTTTATTTAGACATAATTTCTCATATGTCGCTGTAGTTTAATATAAGTTCAATTTTTAGTTCTTCCTGAGAGATATCCAGAATGGTGCCTTCTCGATTGGTCTGATAGTGGATCACTTTTAATCTCAACTCGTAGTAATGCAATCATTGATATTTTTGATGCATATGGAGGCTATTGTTATAGTATTCCTATGGTGATTTTCTAATTTTTCGCCAATTTTTATAAATTGTTGATTGAAATTTAAATATGTTTTAAAGTAAATATTTTATACTTGAAATAAGTATTTGCATAATAGTAGTTCCATTTTCAGGCCAATTCAGGTGATAACTTCAATGTTTCAACTGTTATTAGTCATGTTTCAACACAGGCTTATGCGCATGACGATTCTAAGTGGCTTGATTGCCTATATATTTTGCAATACGGTGGATATTTCTCTAGTTATAAAATCGGGTTTGAAATAATTTTATTTTTTATTTGATAATTGGTGATTCCATAAGAATATATTTGTTGTTAAGTAATTACGGTTGTGGCAACTATGGAGTGAGGCTTTATAAAAACATATTAGATTTTTGCCTGAAATCCGAAAAAATTGCAGTATGATTAGAAATTATTTAATAGAAGTAGAATATATAAATATAAAAATATTGATGGCAAATTCTTATAGAATGTAGATTGTAGAAGTGTGACTAAGAGATTACACTTGGGTCCAGGAAATCGTAATTTTAGATTATAGTTTTTTGGTTCCTTAAGCATATTTAAACACTTTTTTAAAAATTGTTTTATGTTTGGTAGTGTCAGATGTATTTTTAACATTTTGCGATTTATTAATTTCCAGTTTATAAGATTAATTAATTAGAGAATTTTCATAATCAAATCAAAAATGTCAAGAATAGATTGGAACAGATTAAAAATAACATCAAATTCAGTTGCCAATAGGCTCAAAACATGTTTGGTGCAATGAAAATGAATTTGAAATGAATTTTTCTCATTTTAAAAATTGATGGTAATCACAAAATATAGTGAGAATATTGGATTTTTTCAGTCGTTTGGCCGGTTATTTTCCTTTGTTCAAAGTGAATATCGGTCAGGACATCGCTACTTTATTCACCATTGTTCCTTCGCTTAATTTACTTATTGTTGCAAATCAATATAAAGTCAATCCAGTTGAGGATAGCTCATTGGGATGTAATTCGGTTAACACCTTGCTCGAATTTGATTTAATCAGAAATCCAGAAATATTACAATATGATTAATAAAAATAAAATATAGTTAAAATTATTGATGGAGAATAATTGTAGATTGGTTTAAATGTTTATCGCATTGTCGATGAAGAGCCATTTATTGTTGACGTGAAGACTACGCGGAATGAAATCTCTTTCTTTGATTTATTTTTTAATTGGTTGCCTTTTGGAAATGCACAAACGGGTGTCATTTTATCTATGAGTTTAAGTCATGACTGGTCGCTTTTGGCTTGTGTTTCATCAACAGGCAGGTATTTATGTTTTTTGGGAAATAGTGCCGTTTAAAGATAATAATTTAAGTGAGTCCACAATGTCTATGTGGATTTTATACATTCATTCCAATAAATTTGCATTAATTGAGCTTGCGCTCTATCCTAGCCTCATCTAGTCGAAGCAATCAAAATAGGTAATCATTTCGACTTCTTTCGTTGACCCATTCCAGAGAAAGTTTATTATTCTTCTACTTTAAGTTTATTCTTCTACTCGATTTGTTTGACTTTTCAACGAATAAAAGAAACTGTTGAAAGTTAATCTCATATCAGGGATTTCCAACCGTTTTCTTTTATTGAGCTCATGCAAAAGGAATATGTATTTTTCGAAATATCTAGAATTTACAGGATTTTCATTCAGGAAAATTTTTGAATATTCCGATTAAAACTAATCTGCTTTGTCTATAAACATTCATTTTGCCTAATAATTATTTATAGTTAAAACACTTTTCTAAACAAAATATAAAAAAACAAATTATAGTGACATATTAAAATCTATGTTTGGCATCCTTTATATTTTCTATTAGTTTGAAATCTTTGTGAGATTTTAAAAAAAGTGCATAGGTTTGATTTGTCCATTGGCTGCTAATCGATCCCTTGAGGTTCATCGATCCTCAAGCGTTTATACATTAATCTCTTTGGGAATACCTCCTCTTCCCTCTTAACCAAGAATAACAAAAGTTTTGTCGAGATTATCAAAAATGAGCTCTTAATCATTCTTAAGTTGATTAACTGCTTTTTAATTGTTCAGGCGATATTTTTATCTTCAATATTCCATCGATGATTGTACGAATCCATAAGCCTTACATAAATCAGAAGAAACCAACTCAAATTTTATGGAGGGAACAAAATGTAGTCCATTTTCATATTTTTTAAATCTCTTATCAAATTTCAAATTTCTTTATTTTAATGCAAAAATATTTGGTGTATTTATATTCTGGCTTTTAAATTTTTTGAAGGAAATTGCGGTACTTACCAAAGGCGGTTGGCTTTGGAGTGGAGAACTTAATGTTTTTGAAATATCTCATTTTGATGATGATGATGAATTTGAATGTTTTAGTCCTTCTACGAAATTGATTTCACCTCGATCAGGCGAAATGTTCGCTCTCGAAGCTCATGTAAGTCTATTAAAGTCTATGATTTGAGGGAAACATTGATATTGATTTAAATATAATAATTCGACGGTTTGTATAGAAATCTCTTATTAAATAGTTGTTACAAATTTTTTTGTGAATATGAATAAAGCTTATCAAAATTAAATATTCGATTTTCAGTATCTTTCTGACTCCAGAATCTTTATGTCTGAAAATAGTCGCACGTGGCTTGCTGCTAAACTTCGATTAACCACTTTGTATGATTATTTCAAGGTATTTTCTATTTTTAAAAGCGGAATATTAGAAACATCTCCATATTTATGCATCCCTAAAGGGTGTGTTCTGTTGATAAATGAGACTAACGCGCAAATTGAATTCTTTGTAGGCAAGCATTAAGGGATGTTAACGTGGCAAATATGAAATATAAAATACATAGATAATAATAATGATGATATCTTACATAATTCGATTTTTTCATGAAAACTAATAAGCGGTTAAAAAACTGAGTCATAAGCTTTTTCTGTAGTTATTTCTTACTGACATATGGAAGAGGGATTGGCGAAGGGGGGTGGGGGAGGGAGGTGGGAGAAAAGTCTTATATCTAGAGTGGAATATATTTATTCTTATTCTTATTTATTCTTTATCCATATCCATAAAATAATATGGTAGATTTTTTCGCGAATTTTCGCATCTTGCATTTTGCAAAAATTTTCTTCATAGTATCTATTATAGGACCAAAATATTTGGATAAATATGCGTGTTATTTAGGCTTATGTGGGTGTTGCTGTCGGTCAGCCGCTTGAAGATGTCGAAGCGCCGAGAGAATGTCGGGAAATTCATTTTGTATTACATGATTTGCGTTCAATTACTTTGAAACAGATGCTTCATAAAATGGTGAGTGATCCAGAGAAATTTCATTCATGCCATTAGGCAATCTTAGTTAATTTTTGCTTTTTTTTTAGTTATTATGCGGTGATTTTGATGGGGCACACAATCTGGTTAATCGTTGTGGCATTGATGAATCTGATTTCGTCTATAAGGAACAGTGGAGGTATATTGGTCAAAATGCAAAGGAGAGAGATGTGGAAAATGTGCTGGTAAGTTTTTAAGACTCGATTATAGTTTAAATTAATGTCAAAAAATAAATTTGTGAAGAAAAATGCAATATTCGAATTGGGTTTTTTTTTATGCTCATATTTTATGCCATGCCATTTTTATTATTTTCAATGATGAATTTTAATAATATGAATTTTTTAGGAAAAAATAAGTGATGACGCATGGGTTATTAATGAATGCACGAGTAATATCAGTCCAAATATAAATTTACATAAAACTTTGATTTTATTGGCAAAAGAATTAAGCGAAAAACATAAGAACGGGCAATTTTTACTTGTTTTACACTGTCATCGAATATTGGCAATTCTAGATGAAAATAGCACTGATTCTGCCAATATTTACGTTCATCTACGTTCTCTTTCCCTTCTTGACGTAGCTATATATTTAGCTCAGGTTATTTTTTCTATTTTTCCAGTAGAATGCTTCGTTTTTGGCTTAGCTACTAGGAAGAATATATTGTTAGTGAAATACTTAGAGACAGAGATATAAGTAGCTAGCCATATTACTTGCAGTGGTAGATTTATTTCTTCCATGAGACAGAAAAAATATTTGCTGTTCATTCTGCGCAGCATATTCAAAGCTGCCAGTTGAGAACCTAAAAATATTTAAAAGCAAAGGCATACTGATATGGTATTATGCTTAATTTTCTTCCTTTGTGATATTTATGTTTCTGTTGTACTACTGCCAAACCAATCAGAGAAAATATAAAAGCCATTCATTGTTCACCTTTTTTGTTTAAGGTTCATAATATGCTCGCTAAGCGGATAAATTCTTCCATAATCGCGTCTTTGTCTTTTTCATATTTTTCATCTTCCACATATCCTAAGTTCTAGTACGAATGGCGTAAAAAGCCAGGAGAACCAATCAAGATTTGGATTTATGTAATTATGAGACTTATTTTCACTCACGACTTTGGTGATTTTCATATAAATGGGGCTCTTTTAATTCTGGTATTTGGTGTTTTTCGGGCAACATTTTGAATTTGGCCGCATTTTGCCTCATCGACCGTTTTAGAGATATCGTTAATGATCACGAGATATTTTAATTCAGTTTTAAACGAGAATTTGTCACTGAATTTTCTAGAGATAATCGGGAAAATTCTGAAGAATCTTCTGCGCCTTATCAGCTTTTCACTGATCTTGGATCCAATTATAATTATAATCATAGTTCGATCCATGAAGGTTGCCAGTTTTAGCGCTTCGCAGTCTAATAGCAATCGTTTCCAGCTTCTAAATTCATTGGAATCATTCTAGCTTGATTGATCTTTACACATCTTTACAGATTATATTAAACTTTTTCAGCTACAATAATAACAATGAAAATACCAATTATTTTGCTAAAAGACAGAGAAATACGTGTGATGAGCAAAAAAATTATTTAAAATGTGAAATGCACGTCTAATTTACAGAGATTAAGGAATCATTTCAATCATTGCATATTTTTCTTATCATTTTTTATCAATCGTTTTTATCAGCCAATCGTTGATTCAAATTTTTTGAATGTCGATGTATAAAAAATCGGTTGTATATTCACAGAAATGAGGTAAATTGAGGTGGGGTTGGGGGTAGTAAGGAGAATAACAAGGAATTTTTTGTCGAAATTTGGGATCTATTTATTTGTTAGATATTTTCAGGTATGTCAGTTCAAATATCTCAAACGATTAATCTGTAACAATTGGAATATTCTTTATCCTCATTTATTTACTATTTTGTGGATGATTCCAGAATCCGTAAATCCGCAAAAGTATGAAGAATTTTTGCCACATAAGTGGTCAGTTTTCTTTAGTTTTTTAAACTGTTTTCAAAGATTCAAAATTTTCTGCATATATATATATATAAAATTATGAATGAAATTTCAATTTTTTGCAGTTCTTCATGGTTTACTAGCGGTCAGTTTGATAATGAATATCGCGATATCATTATTAGTGAGCCGAGAGAGTTGTCTGAAGAATGTTTGTTGGTTCAAAAGAAGCTGAATTTCGAAACGGATATCTATGATAGAAAAGTTTTTCTTCAAAAATATCAGTTCGTCTTTAATAAATATTTTGTTTTTTTTCGATATTTTTCAATTAGCTTTTTCGTATTTCTGATATGGAATTTATTTTTTTGTTTTTGACTATATTTTATCATTTTTTTTTCTCAATGTAATGCTGATAATTCATCCGAATTAGTTTTTTTTAAATAATTTCGATAACATATTATCATTCAATTAGATAATAAGTAAAATATTATGTAAGAATATATCTTTTTTTCTAGAATATCGGATGCTTTAAAACTTGCCGATGTTCTGGAATATCTAAAAGATCGTTGCTCTGCTTTGGATGTCGATTCAGGTCTTGTTCATAATGTTGAATCCTTTGTGCATCTTTCGATTGAACGCGGTTTCACCGTAAATTTTTTTCCATATTTTACAATTCTTATAAATAATAATTCTATTCTTATTCTTTTTTTTTTACAATTAGATTAAATTATTTTGATCTGTAATTCTGTTATGAATTTCCCCAAAGTTAAGCGAATAATCGCATTTAGGAATTACAAAGTTTGTTGGAAGCAGTGGAATTTTACCGTGATTATATATTTTTTTGTGGTGCTGTGACAATGTCATTCAATCATTTCAATAATTGTTCGAGTGATTTTCTACTCGGGACACTTTCCAAACACGTTAGATTCAGTCGTTAACGTTTATATGAATAGTATATGAATCAGAATGTGTTTATCTCATTGTTATTTATATCTAAACTGGTATCTATTGAGCGCTTTAATTTTTTTATCTGAATTTGATATTAAATTTCGATGATATTGGTGATATGATGAAGCTTATTTTCTAGATGACGGAAAATCATATATATGATAATATGGAACGGCTACTAGGAATGATCGATTATCTGTACCAGCTTGGCCGTTGTACAGCTCTCGATGAAGATCTTATCTCTTTCTTTGGTGTTTTTTCAAAGACATCTATGAGGGTCCTATTGAAGGCACAAGATCTGTGGAAAGAAAGAATAACAAATCATGTAAAAATTGAATGTCTTCGTATGTTTGAGAAGGTCGGAGAAATTTTGATCATTGCTGCCGCACAATTGCAAATCGAAGAGAAATTTATTGAGGTCCACTTTATCAATTTTTTAAATTTTGGCCTATTCTTACAGAGTAAAATTTACAATATTTAAAATTTAATATAAAAAGTTAAAATACTTATTTCGTCAAAAAGTGAAATGCCAGAATCAAAACCTCAAAATTCGAATTTTTAAAATTTCCATATTATAATTAAAGCCTATTTGAATATAAAATTTGAATTTCCATATTATAATTAAAGCCTATTTTAATTCTCATTCCATTATATTATTTTTATTTATTATTTACTGCGGTCAATATCAGCGCACCATTCAATTCTATCTGTCATAATTTTTAATCTTCAGGCCTTGGAGATTTTTAGTGCGCACGAATTGTTTCCCACATTTGATCAACTGTTTGCTTCATTGTCCGATTCATCTCTGGCTGATAAAATGCTTTATCGTCTGATAAAATCATCAAAACCATCAACAAAAATTATGTGGTTTAATCTAAAAAAAGATATTCTAGCAGTTCATTCAAAATTATATTCTGATCAAATCACGGAAGAAGAGGTTATCCGTAATATTGCTTTGCAGGTTTGTTCTTGTTTCAGATATGAATTGATATATTATTTGAAAATCATAAAATGGATTGAAATTTTTTGAGATGACAGGATTTTCCTTCTTTTCTGAAGATTGCTAAAAGGCTCCTTAATAATGAAATAGCCTTTCTTTACACCAGAAAAGCTGTTGATTTTACTTATCATTGCAGATGCTGGATATAGAAAATTTGTCAATTACTCGTGATTTTCTTGATCTTGTTTTTAATTTTGATGGAACAAAAAAAGTATCAAAATGTTTACCACAATCTGAAGCAGTAAACATGATTATTGAGAAAAGTAATTATTACTGGAATATAGCTGAGCCGAAAAAAGGTGATAAAAATCTTGAGATGGCTCGGCAAATCCTTTCTGTTGCACCAAAGGAATGTTCGCCATTATTCGACCAACAGCTGCGGATTTTAGATGCGTTAGATCTTGCAATTGAGTTGGGGTGTAAAATAATGCCGGTGAAATTTCGTTTTCTCGATCGTGAAGATCTTTTTGGTCAGATCGTAAATATTAAATCGAATTACAAGAAAGTGAGTCTTTAATAAACTCTTAAATTATTGCGCTATAGATTATAAATTTCTCTTAGAATCTTAATATTATTTTCACAACAGCCTAGTCCCCACACCCTTAACATCCTCCAATCTTCTTCATGGGCTTTCAAACAATTGTTGTTTTACCATTTACAATTTTATATTTTATAACCACGTTCCTTATAAATGTGAGGCATAATCGGCAAAATGAACGATATTTATGATGTCGCAAAATGTGACAAAAGACGATGTTAAATGGTTTCGAATTTTCGCAAATAGTAAAGTTTCTAGGAAATAAGGCACATTTCAATAATAGAACACAAAAGCAAGATATTAAGTGGTTAAGAGAATTGCTTTTGGGTTGCCAAATTCCAAGAATTGCAGTGGTGTGTAAGCGTTTAAAATAAAATTTATGGTAATATTATTAATAGGGGATGGCAAAACATTTCGACGAAGTTTGTAGAATTTCGAGGGTTAAAGAGTGATGGAGGGGCTAAAAAACAGTTATGGGGGTCCAAAATAGTTATTATTAATAGATTGGGGCAAAAGAGGCGGGAAGAGACGGAAAAAAGTGGCGGGATTTTGGAGACATTAAGGGGATATTAATGAGATTTAGGGATTGGAAGTTTTAAATGTGATATTTTTTTGATAAAATTGGTCTAGAAAAGCTCTATTTGGCTTAATTTTATTTGGATTCTGTAAGATCCGCCATTCCCTCGTTAATGATTAGCGAACACTGAAAAGATTCAGGTGATTGCTTGGAACATGTGACTCTAACACCTTGCTGTGATTATCCCATTTCGAAAAGATTTCAATCATTTGGGCTAGTCAAATCGGAAATAATATAGTTAGAAAAAGGAAAATATGGAAAATATTGCGTTCTTTTTTATTTTTTAGTGATTTTTTTGATATGATTTCTAGAAGCATATTTTTTTCCAAGTTATATTTTAAATTGCTAATTTCAGGTGAAAGAATGTGCTGCATTGGCTAAATTACTTCATATTCATGCTCCGGTGGCACGTGCATTGGAATTGTGCGCGGCACAAGCATTGCTTATTCGTGATGAGCGAATATTAAGAAAGTATTGTGAACAATTATTGAAGAATCCTAAAAATGTAACCGATATTCATAAGCTCTGTATCGACGTTGCTCGTTCAGGAATGTTAGAAGATGTTAGTTTTCATTTTAATTAATTTTTAATTAATTATTTTAATAAAATTTAAATTTAATAAATTTTCCTGCATAAGTTTAAAAGCCACTTGGTTGCTTATTTTATTTTTTAATGGATAAATTGTCTATTGAGTTAAACTAAATTATAATTTAGAATTCTTAGAATTTTTTATTCAAGATGGAAGAAAGTTTATTCGGTTATGCCCTACTGACCTGCAATGATGATTCATTGGCAGAAACTTTGTTGAACATTGAAGAAATCAAGTTAAAGCAGATGGCGACCAGTAGCACTGAGCTTAAACCTGTTTCTTTATACAATGAACTTGTTCTCGACCCTATGTATTGCTCGATTGATCATTATTATCCAAGAACTGCTATCAGTTTTGATAATTCAGAAGAGACGCTAATGGAAGAAACTGCGTTTTCATTCGATACGAAAGCGATTTCTAATGATTTTTTGATTAATCTTACCCAGCGTTTTGCAAGGATAAGTTCATCTGTTGCGATTTGTGTGTCTTTGATCCTGCCAGACAATTCTGACTGGACTTATAACAAGTAATTTTTTGTCATTTAATATGTCTTTACTTTGGTTGAATCGTATACGGCTTAAGGTAAAGGTAAACATAACTTTGATCCTCGTTACAAGAGTAAATTTTTTTTCAAAATTGAAATTAATTGAGTAATTAAATCTACTTATATCCCTATCCTCATTTTATCTTTTTAATATTTTATCTTTTATCTAGGGATTAGAATAATATTCAAAATATTTTTCTAAATTAGGAAAATAGGTGCTACTAGAGGAACTATAAGTTTTTCGTAAATATCGCGAGTGAGGGAATGGAATCTGGGCATAACGAATGACACGAACGAATGAAAGGAAACAAATTTATTGTAATAAATGTAATAAACTGACATGAGTATAGCTAAAAGTTGGTGCTCTTAGGTGCGAAGTTAATAATAAAAGTTAATAATAATAGTGATATGAACCATTTAATAGAATAGAAAAATAGTTAAAAGCATTAGCAACACAAATCATCAAGGTCCGCAATATCTCTTCAGGTCCATTTTTTTATTTGTGTTTGTGAATATTTTTTAGATTTAAAAAGTCTATTTGATATAATTTAAAAAAATGAAGGGAAATTATTTATTTATTTATTGAAAAAAAGCCAAGCGCAAACGTCATGTGCTTGTATTAAAACAATAATTAAAATAATAGATAATAATAATTAATGAAAAAAAAAGAAAAGGAAAATATGACAAAAATTAACAATTTAAAGAGGAAATAAAGAGGAAATTACAAAATAATGAATATAGTACAACTCGAAATAATTGGATGGTAAAAATCGAGATTTCACTCTTCCTGCATGATGTGAATTTTTTAAATATCATAATATCATAAATAATTTTATTTAATCTTTTTTTAAAGATAGCTAAGGATGACGCACAATTTAATATGTTCGATAATTTATTTCGAAATTATCAGAATCTAAAATTTTTTTTAAAAATCAACTTCATCAGGGAAATATTTATAAATAATAAAGTTTTTAATTTCCGATTTAAATTTCATTGTTTTAAGTTTTCTGAAGCAATATTCGAATGCTCTTCGCTTAGCTAGAAACGATTTGCCCAGTAAAATGTTGGAGTTAGTTCCACCTCAGCTCCTCATTGCGAGTTACTCGAGTAGGAATGTTTTAAGTGGTAAAACACCTCTTGAGCGGATATTGAATTCAGGCAAGCATATTTTTTATTTTCAATTGAATTGATTAAACTATTTATTAAATTTATTAAACTATTTAATTGTCCTTGTTCAAATGTTTTATTCTTTCATCCATTTCCAGTGTTTATACTCGTGCGATACTATGATTGGTTTTTTTGCTGATAAGAAGAATATTGCTATCATTGAAAGATCCACATAATTCCTGAAGATCACTTGTATTTCCAGTTGAATCCTCTGGCCAAAGAATTTATCTTAATAAATAAATAATAGAGCAAGCCAAATGAGAAATGGTGCCTGTCTGGAAAATGTCACTGAAAATGTTACTTTTCCAGGTTGTGATCGAGAGCGATTTTTCGAGGATGCTGAATATAGAGCTGATACACTCAATGGCCTTGCAATGTTTGTTTTCCGTCAAAACGATATCATAAATTTTTTTTTTTGGAGAATTTTGCTGCCTCTTAAACTTTACTGACAAAGGATGTGTAATTATTCACAACAAAATATTTTAAAAATTTTTGTTCAGGTCTGTTGACGAAGAAATTCTCTCTGATTGTTGGAATGTTGCTGCAAATTTTGGAATGAATGTTTATAATATATGTTTGTCCACGCTGGAATATGTATTGACTGATCCAGAGTAAATTTTTCTGCTTGTTAATATTAATAACATTAATATTCTTTATTTTCATTATAATTGATTAAAAGTTATTCTAATTGAGGAGATTTTTTGATCGCTAATATTTTTATGTCCTAAAAGAGCGAGAGAAGAATTGCTCTACAGTTGCCCTATCAAAAAAAAGAATCACATTTATTGAGTGTTGAAGTTGAGAGGGAAGCAAATGCACGAAGTAGGCTTTGAATAACAGAGGGAGTATCCTATTTTTTTAAATTTAGGAATATAAATTTTGGGAGAGATCTAGGAGGCTTTTTTATCTATTTATTGTTATATGTTCAGTGTATCACCAGAAGAACTTGAGCATTTTTCGGCCAATTCAATTCTTCGTGATCATCTCGATTCAAATAAAGCGCATTTGCAAGAAGTGCTACGTTGTAGTGTGCTTAACAAAATGTCGTTGCATTCTAAAAATATTTTTCAACGAATTCAAATATATTTATCGTATTTTGGTGATTCTCAGCCGGAATCAAAATGTTTGCCTGTATTACAACAAATTCTTTACCTAAACAAAAGTGATTTATTTTTCTATATTTTTATATAAATATATTTTATATGATTGAAAAATCCATTTCTAATTTACAAAAGTTCATAATTTCATTTAACTGTCATTTCCATAAATTCCATTGATATTCGTGGCATTATTATATTGTAAGCTGAAATTTCGATCAAAATTCATTTCATAATTTATGCTCATTTATTTAATATAAAATTTTCCATAATGTTTCATTCTCATTTTTAGGTTGCGAAATAAATAAATTATTATCTGGCGATTCTGATCAAATCATTCCAATTGTTTTTCCGTTATTAAAGGATTGTGATGATTTACCAACGCTTCTTCGTATATTGCCGGTAATTTCTTTAAAACTTCTATTTCTTCGTTTTACAAAAACTAGCTTTTTCAGATTACAGTGATATTTTATGGATGTTTTTTAAGATTATCAATATTTCATCTTATTTTTAATGATTTTATTCGAATCGAAAATTATTTTTTGCGGAAGTAAATGCAGATAGGCGAATATCTTAATTACCATTGATACCATTGATTTTAATATTCTACAAAATTCTATTCGTATCCACAACTTCTATTTGAGAATGGCTCACAAGTATGTGAAAGGCTTGCTCGTGAAATTCTGCATTTGGATGAAATAAGCTTGAAAAATTTTAAAACATGTTGCCTTCTCACAAATGAAGATCCCGAAATTCTGCTCGAATTGTTGGGAACTCTTTCTGTAATTTTTTGTTTTTTTATTCAAATTTAATTCATTACTTCGAAAGATTAAAGCAAAAAAATTAACGCTTCATACATTTTTTGTATATTTCTGTAGAAATATTTTTTAATAAAATATTTTCCTAAAAAAATTTTACCTAAAAATTTTTATTTTCCTATAATTTTGTTTTTTATTTCTTTATATCATTTTATTTTAATAAAACATTAAAATGAATTTAATTTCAGTTGGCTAAGGAAGAAAAATACATCGAAGAATTGCTCAAGCAGTGGAACTGTGAAAATTCTATGGATAACTTGCATATTTTATTGAATACGCGCTTAAAAAATATTCAAAAACCTCCATTCATCCCATCAACAGCAGTAGTAGATGCTTCTGATCATGCATCTTCAGTTACCAGAAGACGTTTGGCTGGGAAATAATTAATTTAATTGTTATTGATCTGTTCATGAATATCTCATTATGGATCGTTTCACAGAAGAAATAGTTCTCAAATGAGATGGATGCTTCATGACTAGAAAGAATCGGCTCTATTTATTATTTTATGCTGTATTTCTGAGTGCTGTTCTACATTCTTATTGTTACAAAAAATTGGTTATTCGTTTGAGTATTAAAAATTTTATTTGTGTAATTAAAAGGGAAATTTTTTATAAATTAAAGATGATATATTATCTTGTTTTATAAAATTATGAGCTTTGCGCCCAGCCAGTGTTCTTTTAATTATTTTTCTTCTATACAGGATTGTAATTTTGTTTATTTACTGGAAAATATGACTTCTTTGTTTTTCCACTCTTCCTTTCTTTTGCTTTAATTTTTATTTCCACTTTTTTTCATTTGGACTTGTTAGTTTTTAAATTTTTCGAGAATTTTTTCTTAACAATAAGATATATTTAGGTTTATAGTTTTCATGGTTGATTCAAAAGAAAATTGGCTTGTTGGTGTCACTTTTATCACTTTCTCTTATCATTCTTCACTACGTTCTTTTAACATTTGGGAAGTTCATAATCTCAATTCTTAAGAATCTTCATTTTTATTGCAAGTTGTTTTTTATTATATTATTTTATTATTTTATTTTGATTATATTTATTAGACCTAATATTCGTGTTAGGCAAAAATCTTTTTAGTATTGTGGTGGATGAAAAATCCATTTATATAATTTTTCGATTCTTATTTTTTTGAAAGAGTGATACGACATTCAATTCTTTTCTAAGAGTGACTTTACTAGTCACTTAAAATATATGAATTGCAGGAGTATCGCATGACATTCTCATAAAATTTAGGCTAAAAATTATAACCAAAGGTTTTTTAGGACCATAGGATTACCTGGAATTGATTCACTGGCGATGAGTTGGCCTCAATTTGATTTTGGTGAGAAATTTTTGATAAAAATTGATCACATTGAACCTTCTATGAATAGTAACAAAATTTATTAGAATTCTTTGATTTGACTGATATAAGAAAATAAAAAATAAAAAAGTTTTTCAGAGGCAGAAAGATTGGTTCGTAAAAGGATAAAATTTAAAATGGCAGAGTCTAAAGATAAAAAATTCTCGGAGAATAGCTTCTTTGTACGAAGTGCGAGTGAAGTGGTCGATGGATTTATCCCAAAATTTATGCCAGTACGTTCATCATTCCATCAAATTCCAATGACATCCCAAAGAGTACTAACCAGATCTTCGGAAGTGTCTGTAACTCCTGATTTAGAATCTGAAAATCGAAATTCACCTACACAATTCGATGAAACATTGATAGAGTACTGCAGGTCGCCCGAGCCAAATAAAGCCACTCAAAATTGGATTAATTTCGTGCCTGACACACCTGAAAATGATTCTAAAAGGATCAAGTTAAAGTTTGATAATTGTGCGTCATTGGAAAACATTAAAAAACATCCAATTTTTTATAATTCCCAGTTGTCACCTGAAATTAATTTTTCAGAAGAATCTGACTCAGTTGATTATCTTTCTTCGCCTTGCAGCACCATTAATATACCTGCGCCCAAAGATTGTTTAACAAAGAAAAACCCCGATGGTCTTTCTTCAGAATTAGCGATTTCCAGTTCTCCATTTCCTCAATCATTGATCATCGAATTTGATGAAGATTCGCTCTCAAAAAAACCTTTTTCTTGTCCGCCTGATCATAATGAAATTGATCAATCATCTTTATCAGATATATTTACCTTTTCATCACCGCCGGAACAACCGCATATCCAAAAATTCTCAGATGCGTTTGACTACTGTGGTCAACATCATCGACAAACAAGGGCAAAAAAATTAACCAAACTTGCTGAAATGCTGAAACAATGTATCAGATCCTCATCGTCAGATTTGGCTATGTGGAAATGTGATAACAACAAGGATAATCGTCCGGAAATCGAGGTCGAGGTATTTTCGTCGTTCTATCAATGGGGAATCCATTGTTCTTCATGCCGTCTGTTATCTAGTGCTAAGAATGTTTTAGTCATGGATTCACAACATTTTCGCTTAAATAATTCAACAAATCACCGATCGGAAACTGCGGAAGAAAATTCTTCTTCATGTCTAACAAATAAAATTTCAATTTATCAGCCGATATGTATGTTAGAAAAAGCAGACGACGAACTCTTATTAATCGCTCCTCGTTATTATGTAACAAAAAAATGAATTTTGTTTTCTTTTTGCAAAAAAATTTTAAAATCAGCCGATTTCATTTATCTATGAACTTTTTTGATGTTTTTGCGTTGTTTTCTGTCACAAATAATAATTTATCCAGTTACGAAATCCACAAAAAAAAAATTATTTTTTGATACTTACGCTATTTTACGAATTTTATTTTTTTGCATATTCTGCTGCAAAATTTTTATGAATTTAATTTTTTTTCCGGAAAATTTTTTCGTTCCTCGTGGTTGCACGTAATATTCGGTAGATAAAATAATTTTACTGACAAAATTTCCAAAGCATAATAATTAGCATAAATCAAACTAAAAGCCAAATGTGGCTGTTCCTCTGCCACTGTTGTAGTCGTAATATGCTGGCGGATCGTAGAAATCAATCATTGATCCAATACTTGGGTCCCTTCCCTAAATTAATAATTATAAATCAAGGACCAAAAAGGACCGAGGAATAATTTTAATTTGTTTATAAGACTGGAAGCACCTGAAACTGTCTGTATAACTCGCTTTGTAAATCTTTAGCACCATGGATTAATATAGTATTTTTCAATCGTTCCCCAGTGGCGCTTACGTCGTTCTCGTTATCAAATGCTTCATGTAAGTCTAGTGCCAACATCTGCAATTCGTATATTTAAGAAAAAGTAGCAAGGTTGATTTATTTATTTGGAGAAAAATATAAAATATAAATTAATGAGGAAAAAAACGTTGATAAAGATTGCTAACTTGTGCTAGTCAATAAATTTAAGCAATATATATGAATAAATAAATAAATAGACCCGAATAATGCACTTACCTCAACCCAAAGCTTCCTGTAATACATACTCATATAGGGGGGTGAACCCATTATTGGAGTAAATGAACACGGATGATAATCATTTCTATTCATCTTGAATGGAAAATAATCTTTGTACATTTCACGATACAAATCCAGCCAAAATTTCTTCCTATAAATCAATATTTTTTCGGAATTGAACAATCGTGCATAAAAACAAATTAATAAATTAATAATATATTTACAATATAAAATAATAATATAAAATAAATTAATAATATATTTATAATAATATATTTAAAAAATGACCTTCTATCTTCCATTTCGAACAAAGTAAGATCAAAATCAGCCCAAAATAAAGTCCTATACGATTCCCATAGTGTTCCACGAGCAAGACCATGTGATACGGAATCAGCCTGGGCCTCAGCAAATGGAATACCTGTTTTCTGGAAAATTTTTGCGAAAATTGTAGAACAATTATTTCAGATAATGATAAATAAAACCAATAAATTTAAGAAAAACTAAACAGAAATAAGACTTTATTTACTTCATTTTCTGAAGCAAGAGCCCACAAGAGTTTTGGCTTATAAATGAAGAACTGAAAAAAAACAGGAAGCATATCAACGGCATCCCAGTCTGCAGCATACATAGGTGGCCACGGCACCATTAAATCTCTGTAAGGAGCATCTGATAAAAGCAATTGCACTGCACGGCCAGTCTAAACACATATGAAAATTTTATGTTAAATGCAAATGAATCCTTTCACTAGTATTTAAAACTGTAAGAATATGAAATGCCATCAGTTTATGCACTTAATACGCAGATGACCGAAAAAATAACATCAATCTTTCCAAACGGCATATGGCTATAACTAGGGAGTGTAAAGAGCGTAAATCATTGATAAATATGATAAATGTGACCATGATGACTTATGGCATTAGAATTCCCTGCACCAGTGGCGAGAGACCTTCTTCACTTTATCGAGAAGCAGAAACATAATATATATTTTAATATATATTTTTTATTAATATATAATATATATTTTATATTTACCAAAATATATTTTCGGCTAAGAAATTTCAGGATAAGATATTTCCAATTATAAAGAATTCTTCGGACAAACAGCCTTCTCACCAGATTGATTATCCCTAGTTCGATCAAGAGTTTCGTACCAGACAACTCCATCGCACTTTAAAAACTGGCACTCTTCACGGATAAGACTATGTTCCAATGAATCAGAACCTGCTTTAATGTAGCACAAAATCTTTCGATTAAAATTGAAGATTTAGGAACAGTAACACTAGGTCCTTCAAACTGAATTATTATGCAAACAACAATAATACCTCTAGAATGGCTGTTATGAAAAACTCTAAAAAGCCACCACACCGTTCGCATTAAAAACACTGCGAAAACTGTGGGAGGTGAAAAGAATCTTTAAAGAAAGATTATAGAATTCCCAAGGATTATTAGGAAATATAGTTTTGAACTACATATTAGACAATGGAGAGTGGACAATATATTATAATCTCTCTCTCTCTCTTGTACTCTCCTTTTTCCAAAATTTATCAAAATTCTTCCAATATATAAAATTCTTCCTATTCTCCTACATATACCTGCCCATAAATATTCATCCTGGCAAATGCCGTATTTGGCCTTCATAAATCCAGTTATTCCCAGTTCATTGGATGTTTCCACTTTATTCCAATAAATAGAATAAATAATTAAATAATTTAGATCTATTTGGTTAGACGAGCAATGCTGCCTATTAAGGAATGTGTCAGACGATAGAAAAAGCCTTAAGCCTTAAATTAAAAAGCCTTTTTTAAAACACTTCTAAATTACAATAATCGAGGGAAGAAACCGAAACATTGTCTTAGTGATAATTTGATGTGATAAGTTGATCCATTATCCACTCGGCTGTCCAATCCTGTTCATATTTACATATTTTACCATCCTTTTAGATTAAATCATCTAGCCCCTCCAATCTATGAAATCTTTAATTCCTTAACAATTTTTTCTACTTGCGATATCCATCGAAACCTCGATGTATTTTCCCTAAACATTCGATCAATTCCTTTTTTATCAAATCCACTGGTATCATCACAAATTTACATGAAACAAACAAAGCCGATTGATAAATTTTTTGAAGCCTGTTGCAATGCTTCATATCTTCAAAATCTTCTTGATTCTCAAATTCAAGTCCCATCTTTCTTTCTTAATAATATGTCCTAACTCCAATAAATTTTCGTCATTATGTTGAAACGCCTCAGTATCTCCCTAAAAGCTTGAATATTGACATCAAAATCTCTCCAAACTCTAAAAACCTTCTTAAAGCTTGTAAAGAATGCGAAGAAAATTCTATCAAATCATAGGACTGGTTTTTTCATCCATAGTGGTTTATTTAAAGAAATATATGAGTATGAAAGATAGTCTAAATAGATCTAGATTTATATCTAATATTTGGAAAGCATACGTAAAATAGCAACTGTTGAAGTTGTAGATAATGAAGAGGAGAAGAAGAATCTGATTTAGGAGCATCGGCTGCACCGAATAGATAAACAATTTTATCCAAACCACGAGATTCAGAAGGAGCTAAAACTTTGGTAATAGAAAAATAATCTTTGAATTCATCGGAAAATCAGCGAAATCAAAATGAAAAACTTAATATTAACGAGAAAAAACTTAACCTCTTCCAAGCAATGTACTCCAATGTCCACGTTTATTTATTCGATCAAATGGGTCAACATATAGGCGACCAAGATGCTTACCTAAAATAATGAAGCAATAATTGTAAAATGAATAAATTTATCGATTGAATCTTAAAAAAACTTCGATGTAAAATTTACAAATGAATAAGGAAATATTAAATGGAAATAACGACCGGAAATCATATCGTCGACGGAATAAATCCTTACGTCGGTATGACATCGTTCCAATGCTGTTTCCGAAATGTCCTAGAATTTAGCCGACTCTATTCCACAAGAAAGGTATAACTTATGCACAAAGGTATAATTTATAGAAAAAAATTGTGAAAATCAAAATGTGAGATTAAATCTTAGAACTAGAATTTTAGAATTATAGATCTATTAAGAAATAATCTCCATATTCAATCGCTAAATAATTTTATAAGAATGAATGAAAGCATAAAAAACCTGGAATTGAACGTTTAAAATACTTGAAGTGACGTTTAACAGCTTCGAAAAAGTTGGCGAAAATGGAAAATGGTCCATAAGAGTAAGTGGATGAATTCTACAATATTAAATTACCTTTAAATTATTATCTATTAATTATTATTGCAAAAATCAAAAAAAGAAATCTAAAATTTAAAAAAAAAAAAATTAAATAGCCGAATAAAACAAAAATTAATATTAAATATCAATTAATAATTCTCAATGCGTCGATAATTGCTTTATTTATTTCTATACTATACCATCTGTATACTTTTTAGAACTATTGCATAAGTTACCCGAAGTGCGATTCAGCCTCTTTTCTACAAATGTAAAATAGATCGGCTGGCTGAATTTGACCGGAAAAATTTTCTTTAGACATCGCGTAAGAAGTCCATGACTCCATACGATCGAAATAAACTGGACGCATGCGTCGACGAAGCCTACCAAAATACTTCATAAAGTATATACGTAAGTAAAACAGTTAATTATCACTAAAAACCTCGAACCACATGAGTTCATCTCGCATAAAATTTTCTTCAAAATTTTATATTCTTATGTTATTTACATAGGCTTCAAAAATTAAAAAAAATAAACTAACGATGTAATAAAATCTCGAACTGTTTCAATAGTCCCAGCCATTTTGTTTGCTAACCTGTGCTCCGCAATTGAAGAGTATCCTAAGATTTTCGCCAAACCTTCACTTAAAACATGGAATGATAAAATGAAAATCAGAATAATCGAGAATTAAATAAACATTTGAAAAATGAAATTCAAAAATATTAAAAAATCAGAAATTTTTACTTGTTATGCCTTATTTCTTCAATATTGATTGAATTGTTGTAATAATCCTGATGAAAACTTGCGCATGAAGCCCATCTTTCCCAAGTTTCGAAACGCAAGGATCGATCTCTGCAGTACTGCATGAAAGCATTGACAGAAGATGGTGCTAATCGTACACGCCATGGTCCTTTTTCATATTCTAATCTATAAAGAATTTGGAATAAAAATAAAATAAATTATAGATAAAATGAAATGAACAGAAATAATTGCCGCAATTAGAGAAAGTGGAAAAATAGATTATTAATAATCTTACGGTTCAATAGCGAGAGTTTTTAGGATGTGAGGAGGAGCATCTATTAGATCTGCTTTATTCTTAATTGTATACATTAAACGATCATTTGTTGCCAGAATATTTATACTAAAATTAGTAATATTAAATGCAGTCGACATCCGTGCAAAGTATCATAAATGAAGATATATTATTTTCTCAAAAGTATCATAAAGTACTAATATTAATTTATTTCATTAAAATAATTTATTAAAAGAATGTATGATTTGAATTTTAATAGAAAAGGTAAAACACAAATTTTCTACTCACAGATATTTTGTGCGATATTCATGAACGAAACGTGACCAAGATTCGACCAATTTTCGACTCTTCTTATCATCTTGATCAATGCCATTCGCTTTTGCTTCTAATAAGTAATATTCTAATAATCTAATTTGCCATTCATTAAGATTATCGCGCTTATCATATATATTCTAAAAATTCAATACAAGAAAAAAAATCAAAGTGGATAAACAGAAAATTAATCGAAAAATTGTTACTGCAGAAAAAATAAACCTTCAATGCATTCCGAAAAACTTGACTCGTTAGTTTCTCCATGATACTATGGGCAAAAAAAAGTCGAATCTGAAAGATTTGGTTTCTTAGAAAGAAATTTATATAAATCATTATGAAAAGATAAAAATCTTCCAAGCGATAAAATATTTCTGTTCTAATATTAATACAAGAATTAATAAAGTTCAATGATGATTTACATGATGCAAATCAGACTGAAATTCGAAATTTGCACAAATCGGCCATTTTGTAAACATTCTTAACATAAGTGCTTGGTATGCGTAATTTATTTCCCATTCTTCCTCTAAAAGCGGTTCAACAACAGTTTCAAAAGTTTGTTCTTCTTCTTTTACTGAAAATAAAAAATAATGGCACAAAGTAATAATCCCTAAATGAAAAGATAATTAAAAAAAAACATGAAAATCTAAAAAAACAAACAAGTTTTAATAAATTCGATATGCTCGCTTACAGTGGCACCATATTCCATAATCATTCTCAATGTACCTTCGTACACCTCCTTTGCTATAAAAAAATCCATTAATAGCAAAAATATGAGAATGCAAATTATTTTATTAGATTTTTAAAAAATCCTCGCCAAAAAGAACTGGAAAAAAGCTTTTAAATATATATTGCTAACAACTGTTTCGATTGATTTAAATTGATTTACAATTCTATTTTGAACAATTTCACATTCGTATATTTATTCACTTTATAAAATACTTAATTTATCGACTCATAAACGTCAGCTGAGGAGTGTTCTGTTTAATGATTAGGAAATGGAAAAATTGCATGATTTGAGGAATCGAAAATTTGCAAATTCAAGTGATATCGAATTTCAGGACGCTAGCTATATGTGCCAAGATCCAACGAACCAACAAGACACAACGAGAGTAAATGAGGAGCTCCTGTTATATGGGAAACAAATATATGAGAGCATTAACAGTGAATCTTCTTGCGTGCATGATATAGAAGAATAGCGATAAAAAAGAATGAGTCTGATTCCATAATTAATATTCCTTAGATATCTTCGGATAAAGGCTAACAAGAATATAAAACTGACTAAATGAATATTATGCTTGATAATGTTATTGCTAAGATGAACATATTCTGCAGCAGAAATGATCTTCCGTTCCTGAAGTGGAAAGAGTTCACTTAACCACTCGAAATTCCACCAAGTAGCATGTGGTTTCAACGACAAGAATGCATGATCCATCTTCAAAAAAAGCCTTACAAAAAAGTTCTATGGAGTTCTATGGACATAGGAATTACAATAGTTTTTTTTATTAGCACGGAGAATTATGTTTCTGCCGAAATCAATCGAAATTCTTAGCAATGATCCTAAAAAAATTCTGCAACTCAAGTGCAGCAGTGATATTTTTCATAAATAACGAAATAATTTGAATAAAAAATTTCCTTATGTATAACAAAAATAAGTTTTAAAAATAATTCCTATTTAATTTTTATTTAAAGAAATAAAAAAAGTCAGAAAAAAATCATCAAAATAAAAAATAAAAAAAAAATAAATGAAATAAAAAATATCCCAAAAAATAATAATAATAATTTAAAATAAATTTATAAACAATTAATAATGAAAAACAATGAAAAACAATGCTTACGCGTAGCGGAATTAAGTGCTGGCCAATCACTATTTGATGCAATGTTTGCCAAAAAAATATTATTCTGAATAGTTTGATCAGGTAAATCTGGAAGGCTAAAAATATAATTTGATAAATAAAAATTCAATTTTATTCAATTTATCATCAGTTCAATAATAGATTTTTTGTCAATTAAATAATTTTCTTTCAAAAATTTCAAAATTTCAATTTCAAATTTCAAAAATTTCAAAAAATTAATGAAAATAAAAATAAAAGTGATTTTAAAAAATCTTACAGAACATAATATCCAACAATTCGATGCGGTTGTTCATTGCTCAATTTAAACATTAAATTTCTTTTCGATATATTAAAATTTGTAAATTTACCAAGTTTTTTTGGCATTAATAAAAAATTTCTTTGAATTTTTGGCGAAAAATTAAATTTCGAAGGTATTATTCGAAGAAAAAACATATTTCACCTGAAATATAAAATAATTAAAAATTTCAATTGGCATTATAATGAAAAAACGATTCAATCGTAATTTCTGCGAATTCATTTTTCATTAAAAAAAAAACAAATTTCGTTGTCGTCCTGTTTATTTCGTTACCGTTGTATAACCTTAAACCTGGGCAAATTAAATTTTTTTTCTTGGAAAAAATCGCATAAAAATTATAAACCACGCTTCTTTTAAAAAAGCATTCATCACTATTGGTAAGACTCGCTCCTCTCGCTTGCCGCACTAAATAAATATACCGCGACAGAATATACTCTCAGAATATACAGAATATAAATATACTCTCTTGGCGACAGAAGTATAAGTAAGTCGACAGCATAATTCAGATCGGATAGGTTTGCTCCTTCCAGGAAGCAGAACTTCAACATCGGCGCTCTCCGAACTGTGAGCAGCAATTTACAGAGCCATTCAGTTCTCATTTCTCCGATTTTCTCCGTTGTCGCCAGATGAAGAGTGATATCTCGGCAGATTCGAACCTAAGCCTCGATCCCCGATGGCAGTCATCTTGCCGCTGAGCGAACGATAATAAATATATAATAATACATGTACAATAATAAATATCAATAAAAATAATAAAAAATAAGAAATAAATGAGAATACATCCCGCGCCGAATTCTTTGAAAAGTTTTTCCTTATCAACAAACATTTCAGCTAAATTTTTAATAAAAAAAAATAAACACTTGGAAGGATAGAAAAGGCTGAACTAAATCATTGCTAAGTTCCGTGAGCCATAAGCCAGTGCTGCGGACTAAATCATTGATAAGTTCCGTGAGCCATAAGCCAGTGCTGCGGACTAAATCATTGATAAGTTCCGTGAGCCATAAGCCAGTGCTGCGGACTAAATCATTGCTAAGTTCCGTAAGCCAGTGCAGATTTTCGAAAAATTTATTCAAATATATAATCTCGCGCAGAGTGAACAAGAAAAATGTGGAAGGTTTTTGCTATAACAGAAGTGGATTAGTGAATTATATATATTTTCTTTCCATGGCTTTGATTATTCAATCAAAAAATTTTAATAATATACATTTATAATATTTATATAAAATGAAATTTTAGCGTTTTTCGCTTTTCCTCTCCTTGGAATTACTAAATATCGTTTTTTTTCTACACCTTTCCTTTTTTTATTTTTTTTCACAATTTTCCTTTCTAAATTCAAAAGCACCAAAAGCTTATTCGAAACCAAAATGCCCGAAGGGCACTTTAAGGACCATTTGGCAATTTGAACCTTGAAATTTCACTTAGTCTCGCTTAGTATACTCAATTTAATAAGGTCGAAAAAAATTACAACAAACTTGCTTTAGTTAAAAAAAAAATGAATGTAACTGTGCAATAGTCGACTGCTTTTTTTTAAAATGCAGCTTCGGTTTTTTATGCAGTTTTTCCATAATTTGAAATCGTTCTATTCCAAATGATTTATTTTTGTCGAATAGTAGTTCTTCGTTGAGTTATTATCAGTCGTTTATTGATAATCTTATCAGTGATGTTAATTTGCCAAGTTTTTTAACTTATAATCGTAATTATTCCATTGGATTATGTTTTTTTGTGAAATACAATAAATATATTTTAGTTTTATCTTTTGACTGATCGTTTTTCAGTGAAAATTTACAAAATTTTACTTCTCTCCTTCATCGTTTTTCCTTATTATCTATTGTTAATTCTTTTTCTTCCATAGAATTTTCATGCAAAAATAAATGAAAACGGTTTTTGAATAATGAATTTGCCAATTTGCCAATTTGCTTTTATAAATTGTGAAATTCGCATGAATTTTGAATTGAAATGCTTTAATAATCAGTGATAATCAGTGATAATCAGTGCGTTCTCAATTCTATTCTATACGTTCTCAATGGGTTTAAATTATTTCGGAGCATTTGGTTCTTATTGCATTTAAATTTTAGGTTAAATTCATGGTACTTTTACTAATAGTTCAAATTAATGTAGCTTTAAAAAATTTTTTTATAATATAATACTGTTGAAAAAATTCTTGGCTTAAATTTAGTCAAAGTTATATTTTGGCTTTTATTGGTGCATTGGTAATTAATGGTTCATTCCAGTGGTGAATGTAATGTTATAATGTGAATTCACATCATTTTTATCATTTTACATAATTTTTTATCCATCGTTTCTTGGCTTGTTTTTAAAGTGAACACAGATAGTTGTCTCAGTGTATATCTATTATTATTATGAAACATAGACAAAGGGTTTGACAGGTTTTGCTGCTACGAAGAACGGGGGATTCATCCTCTCATTTGGGGAAATGAAAATAGTCTGTTACTAATTTCCTTCCCTGTTTAGCGATATTGTTGATGAAATGTGAAATGTGATCGGCGAAATTCGAATCATAGCTTTTCTTGGTGCAACGTTGGCAATCACTAATAGTGTTGGCCACTTAGCCACTATCGACGTATTTAGGGTGGATAATTGATGATGAAATGATAGATCTCTGCTGTGGTCTCCCCGAAAATAGCTTTATCAGTATTTTTTTTATTTACACATATCATACATCCTAGTGGTGTTGAAGTGAAAAGCATCAGTTCCCAAATGATTCTGCTAAAGGAAATTCACTTTGTTAGTAAATGGGGTCAGCAAGAGTGATAATGATAATGAGGAACTTTAAACATATTTTAGAGTTGCATATATCTTTTTCGATTTATTTACGAATGGTGCCAAATTTTAAGCGAAGAGCAACTTTTGCGGTGAATTTAGTTAGATATATGTGAAAAGAAATAAAGCCAATAGATATTGAGGAAGGAGAAACAGTGAGAACTTTGGATACTGAAGAAGGAAAGGAACGAGTGGTTTTTGAAAAAGAGAAGAGCCAATGAAGACTAAAATAGAAGAAGCAGTGGATACTTCGGTGCTGAACAGTAGATGAACCATAAACCAAGAAGTATTAGAGCCTTCATAACCAAAGATATAGAGCCTTCTCAGGATTTGAATCGGAATCAGGACCTAGTGATTTAAAGCCTTCGAAATCCTTATATTAAGTTTTGAAATATTTATTTTAAAATTTTCTTTAGAAAACATTTTATTATATTTTTATTATTTATATTTATTCATTCATATTCATGTTGAAACATTTAATATTTAATATATTTTTAAATATTTTTACATTATTTTTCCAAATTTGCGAAATAGTGATTTTTTGTAAAATATTTGCAACTTTTTCCTATTTTATAATATTATTTATTTTTTGGCCGCCTTTTCTTTTATTTTTTTTTATTTGAAATGTTGCAAATAATGCAATTTTGCTGAGGAAATAAAAGGTATGTTTGAAAATAAACGCATTCACTATCATTTTATCATTTTTGAGTGTACAATTCAGTTCTTATTTGCCGCTAGATATCGATATTATCGATATAAATTAGGTAGGTGGAATAAGTTGATATAATTTAAAAAATCAAATTTTACTATTAAAATTATCTTTTATAATCACATAATTATAATAGCTTATGGTCATGCAAAATGCCGAAAAATTCTGACAAATGCCAAAATTTTATTAAAAAATAAAAATAAAAAATATCATATTTTTTCGAATCCAAAATACCGCGTTATGTTCAGTTTTAATTTTTAATTAAATTTTTTTCAAATTAGAATTTTTTTCAGATTTAAAAACAAAAATGTATACAATAAATGATTTAGCGTTGTTTTTGGCAATTTTTTATGTAATTATAAATGTATTATTTTTAAAATTTGGAAACTTTTTAAATTTTATCAATGGTATTGCGCAAAAAAATTTGCAATTTCAACGATTACAACGAAATTTTTTTATTCCATATTTATTTGTTTTGTTTGCAGAAAATATTCAGGTAATTTTTATTTTTTTAATTATTTAAATAATTTTCAAAAGAAATTTTAAGAAATTTTTCGGAATTATTATTATTCATAATTTTTATTTTTTTTTTATTTTTTATTCTTAAATTGTTTTTTTCAAAAACTATGAGCCAATTTTTTTTAAAAATAAATTTTTTCAATAAAAAATTTTTTTAAAAATTTTTGTAAATTTGAATTTGAAAAAAAGAAAAAACAAAGTATTACAAAGTATATGAATTAATTAATTTATTATTAGTTATCAGTTATTACATTTGTTATTTGACTAACTTTTTATGTGGAAAGTAAAATTATGGCGACAAGAGGTGATTGGTAGTGGTGAATAAGAGGATAATGGTAGTCCGAAGAGTGATTCTGTATTTGGTCTGAGAAATCATACATTTGTTGAAAATCAACACAGTTCTTCGTTATTCAAGATCGTGAAACATAGGGACACAACATGGTGAAAGTTCATTTTGATCGTTTTCTTAAATATCCGAATTTTTAGAACCAGTAAACCACTAGAAAATATATCATATAAGGTTTTTCATATTTTCGAAAGGGTTTCTTACAAAAATAAGCAAAAGAATTAAAAATCTGTTTAGTGAAAATTCTGACGAATATAGTCGATAAGAAAGGATAAACAACTGGGCAAATATTTGTAAGATCATTCCTGCGACTTGTGATTTAGCACATGCGACATGGGAGATAGTGGAATATTTTTCGTTGGCCAAGGCCAGCTCTGATTGCTGTATTTGCAGCCTATGATGAATTATTGCCTGTTCTTTGCTTTATGATTCTGTTTTAACCGCTATTCTAAGCAGAAGAAGCTATGAAGGATCTGTCCGGCCATAAACATTCAAAGTATTAGTAGTCTTCAACCACACTGCAAATTGTTGTGATGATTGAGGGATTTCATCTTGTCAAAGCCTATCTCCTTCATTATACCTTTTTTCCATTATAAATATAAGTCAGCTCTAGAAAAAAGCGTTTTTTGTGTCGCATTAACAGTCGCGAAAATTGTCGCATTAACAGTCGCGAAAATTTCTCCAAACGGATCTTCATTCAATATTTGGTTAAT